AGACCACTCATGTGCCTAAAGTTACTCACATGTTTAAGTGTTTGCAGGATTGGGGCTAGTGTTAGAAAGCAAATGCTTCAGGAGGCCAAGTTGTGTAATGAAACATGTTTGCAACTTCCTGCTTTTTCATTAGTCTGATCAAAGATGCTATCACTGGTATAGTACTTTTGCCTGGGAACACACAGATACTCGCTATAGTATCAGTACAGCAAGTGTTTTAAAATCATTTCTACTTTGGAGGAATTTGTCCGTATGAAACAGAAGCTAATACTGCAGGTTTGGAAAGCAGGACACCTTGTTGAATGTACTTTGTAAAATGCTGTAAATGCTTTTTCCCCCCATGCATGAAATTAAATATTTTTTAACTTTGTGGTATTGTGAAACCAATTTTCCTATTTTATTGGGGAGGGGAAATAAGAGACGTATGTTCATTATGAGGTGAAATGTTTCATCTTATAAGTGCAGCAGCATTATAGTATGCGTGCGCACGCACACACAATATTAATAGAGATGCATGTTCTGTCAGGTATAGTATTTTAACAATTCAGTTTCAGTCACTTTGTGCTGCTCAGGAATCTGGCCCTAACTGGTTGGATGAGAATTGTCCTAGTGCAGAGGAGCTTAACTGCTAGAAACCAGTGTAACCAGTTCCTACAGCAATTGACACCTTCCCTCCCTACTTCTCTTCTCTCTCTCCCCCGCCCCCCCCACACACACTTGCCTAGGGATGGTGTCAGGAGCAAGACAAAGCACACCTGCACTCAGCCAGAGCTCAATAAGCATACAGAGCTGTAGCTAGCCAGCATAAGTTAAAGCAGCCCCTAGCTGACTGACCAATCTCTCCACTTCGTGTGGAGATTCCTGCACAGGAGACAACTGACTCTCTCAAGAGTGGCTGTGGCCCCAATCCTGAACATGGATTATGTAGGCAAATAACACACTCATGTTACTGACCCCATTGACTTCAATTGGACTGCTCACATGAGTCTTTTAGCACTGAGGCCTAAATTACCCTCAGGTTGTTGCAGCCTTTAGAGTATAGAGTAAGTGCTACCACAGCGAACAGAGATTATATTTCAGATGGGAGTGGGGAACTGAGTTTGGGGTTTTTTGACCAGAAAACTTTCATTTCTGTCCCCAATGCCATGTGTGCAGTTAACTGGCCATTCTGGTGTCTGTTTGCAGGCACAAATCTTTTGTGCCAGGAAGCATAAAGCAACCCAATCACTAATAGAATCATGATTATTCTGAAACTTGAAAAATACTTATATGTTAGGGGACTGCAAGTACACGGGATAAGTGCATATTGTAGCCAGTTTCATCATGCCATCCCCTTCATACAGTTATCAAGCTCAGTCTTGAAGCCAATTAGGTTTTTTGCCCCCACTGCTCCCCTTGGAAGGCTGTTCCAGAACATCACTGTGATGGTGATTCCCCAGGGTGTAATCTGGGCTGCTGAACAGCTGTGCCCCTCATACTCCAGACTGCAATGCCTTTTACCAGGGGCGCCATTTCAGATTTTGGTAGGGTGGGGTAATTTTAACTGTGATTCCAGGGGTTACTTAGGTACCTGAAAGCTCTAGTTCAGTGGTCCCCAACCTTTCTGTGTGGCGGGCGCCGGACGACTAGCTGCCGAGGAGCGTGGCCGCTGGACAAGCAGCTGCCGAAATGCCGCCAAGAAGCATCGCCGCCGAGAAGCAGCCTCATCAAGAGGTGTCGCCGCCGAAATGCCGCTGAAAATCAGTGGCATTTCAGTGGCAACGCTTCTTGACGGCATTTCGGCGGCGGCTTGTCCGGAGGCCAGTAGGCGGGTGCATGTAGATGCTCCAGCGGGCGCCATGGCACCCACGGCCACCGCGTTGAGAACCACTGCTCTAGTTTTTCTGGTAGATAACTTAGCAATTAGCTGACAGGACAGGAGCCCTGTCTCTAATTCTGATATAAAAGAAAGACATTTAAATAAATATTAGTATTGGAGCTGAGAGGGTCTAACATGTTCTGACATCTTATGGCAAGTCACTTAAGGAACACGGGTTAGATTTAAAATGTTAATGTATATTCTTACGTTGTTACTAACTCTGCAGAGAGAGAGAGACCTTGTCAGGACACCTGGGTTCTATCTCGGCTCTGGGAGGGGAGTGGAGTCTAGTGGGTTACAATGGGGGGGCAGATATAAGAACATTAGAATGGCCATACTAGGTAAGACCAATGGCCCATCTAGCCCAGTATCCTGTCTTCCATCAGTGGCCAGTACCAAGTGCTTCAGAGGAAATGAACAGAACAGGTAATCATCAAGTGATCCATCCCCGCTTCTGGGATGCGCATTCCCAGCTTCTGGCAATCAGAGATTAGGGACACACAGAACATGGTATTGCATCTCTGCCCATCCTGGCTAATAGCCATTGATGGACCTATCCTCCATGAACTTATCTAGTTCTTTTTTTTAAACCCTGTTATAGTTTTGGCCTTCACAACATCCCCTGGCAAAGCGTTCCACAGGTTGACTGGGAAGAAATACTTTCTTTTGTTTGTTTTAAATCTGCTGCCTATTAATTTCATTGTGTGACCTCTAGTTCTTGTGTTATGTGAAGGAATAGCTAACATTTCCTTATTCAATTTTTCCCACCATTCATGATTTTATAGACCTCTATCATATCCCTCCTTAGTCATCTCTTTTCCAAGATGAAAAATTAGTCTTTTTAATCTCTCCTCATACAGAAGCTCTTCCAGACCCCTAATCATTTCTGTTGCCCTTCTCTGTACCTTTTCCAAATCCAATATATCTTTTTTGAGATGGGGTGACGAGATCTGCATGCAGCATTCAATATGTGGGCATACCATGGATTTATATAGAGGAGTATGATATTTTGTGTCTTATTATCGATCCCTTTCTTAATGATTCCCAATACTCTGTTAGCTTTTTGGATTGCCACTGCACATTATGAAGTTACTTTCACAGCACTATCCACAATAACTCCAAGATCTCTTTTGTGATGGTTAACAGCTAATTTAGACCCCATCATTTTGTATGTATAGTTGGGATTATATTTTGCCATGTGCATTACTTTGCATTTATCAATATTATTTTCATCTGCCTTTTTCTTGTCCAGTCACCCAGTTTTGTGAGATCTCTTTGTAACTCTTTGCAGTAAGGTTTGGACTTACCTATCTTGAGTAATTTTATATCATCTGCAATTTTGCCACCCCACTGTTTACCCCTTTTTCCAGATCATTTATGAATAAATTGAATAGCACTGGTACCAGTACAGACCCCTGGGGGACACCACTATTTACCTTTCTCCATTCTGAAAACTGACCATTTATTCCTACCCTTTGTTTCCTATTTTTTAACTAGAGTGTCTGGCAATGCTTTCAGGATCATCTAATGATCCTTAATTTAATTTAATGTAATGACAAGCCTTTTGTCATCTTAATCACCCTGACTCTGTTTATAAACAAACTCTCTGCCTCAAGGGTGGAAGCTGGGAGCAGCACAGAACTCATAACATGTCACATTCAAGCTGTGTTGGAGTTAAGAGCTCCGTCTGAGTCTAGGGCGTGAGCTGTGAGCAGACCTCTGGTACAAAACTTGGGGAGGTGAGTCCCCCTGTCCCCTCTAAATGGCACCCCTGCCTTTTAAACTGCTTTGCTGTGAGAGCAACCACTCCTGGTCCTGCTCACACACAGCCTCCAGCATGTAAATCACTCCCAGCTGAATTAGGTAGATGCTCTGGCCAGCCACTCATGAATTACATGCAGGGCGACACCAGCAGCTTCCCAGTCTCAGGCCTTCTCCCGGAAATGTGCCTCTTGTACTGAACAGTGCCTTCAGTCAAGGAATGTCACAACTGAACCATCAGAGAATAACAGAGAAAATAATAATAAATAGTATTAATAAGAATAATAATACCTTCTTAGCGGGCACCACCTACGGGGCAGTAGTGATAATGGTTTAGTTGTGACATTGCTTGACTGGAGGCACCGTTCAATTCTTTTCCAGCAAAAAGTCCTTACCAGACTCAAGGTCCAAGATGCTTACCACCATTCTTTGTGTTCCAACAGAGTGTTTCCCTGACCTGCAGGATGAGATTTCTTCTGTGCAACAGTGTTTCAAGGAAATATCTATGGAGGAGTGTGGACATATATACAACCTGGTTATTTTCTCTGTTATTCTCTTGTGGAAAATCCTTATAGGATTTAATAGAAAATGAAAATATTTATATTTTTATTACTATCATATCGACTTTAAATGAGAATTGAGCCCCCTCAGACACTATTATAGGCTGTTCAAACAAACAAATTCAATAAAAAAAAAAACCCCAAACTTAAACAAACAAAAAACTGTAGAGGCAGGATCTTGTTCTCTGTTTAAATTCTACAGGTCTTTAGAGTCATTTCTATAGAACCCTTTCAAATTTCCATAGGACTCTACTCATCTCAGGCTTGTTAAATTCTATCAGACATTTCCACAATGGGACGATAGATGCTTTTCCGTGACAGCTTGCTCTAGCAAACCTGGGAGCTGTGCCATTCGTGGGGGAGGATGGGTTTGACAGTAGTGGGGCTGTCTCTGACTCTAGGTTGAGCTGGGAGGAAGGAATAAGTCCAAAATTGACCTGGGAGGGGATTCTATCTAACTGGGCTTAGGTTATGGCTCCCCTCTAGGTAGTAGCACTAGCTACAATGTCCCATGCACAAGGCCGGCAGGACAGTGTCAGCAGTAGGTCAGGGTCCATTGGGGGGCACTGAACCGGTTGGACAGAGCAGTCGCAACTGGGAGGATGGAAGACTACAGGCCCCAGAAGGCAACGCGCCACCAGTCTGTCCGCTCACGATGGCGCGTTGCAGCCTGGGGCCTGTAGTCTCCCACGAGCCCAGCCCTTGAAGGTAGGGAATTGTCACCGGGCGCCATGTTATGCAAATCAGGGGGCGGTGCCTCAGCCGCTTGCCCTTGCCCCCAGCCGAACAGGGGTGGGGCGGGCTGGCTCTGTCCCAGGGTGCCGCGCGGCCGCAGCGAGAGGGAGGCTGTTGGCCGGGGCGCGCGATGCAGCGGGTGACGGTGGTGCTGGGGCACCTGGCGGCCAGGCCCGTCGGGGGGCCGGCGCTGCGGGCGGCTCCGTGCGGGGGGGTAGCGACGGGGCCCGGCCGTGACGGGGAGCAGGACGACGACGACGTGGTGGTGGTGCACGGGCTGCGGACCCCCATCGCCAAAGCCAAGCGGGGCGGCTTCAAGGTAACCCCGGCCCGCGGGAACCCCGGGGGTGGAGGCTGGGGGCCCAGCCCCTAGAGGCGCAATGGCTGGGGGGGTCCCTGAGGGGGTGTGGGCTGGAGGGAGCCCTGAGGGGAGGAGGGGCTGGGGGGAGTCCTGAGGGGGGTGCGCTGGGGGGCTGGGGGAGCCCGGAGGGTGCAGGGGAGCAGGGGTTGGGGCTGAGGGGTGGGGACCCCCCACGGTAAAGGGTTTTCCCTCACTGCTCTTACACTGTGTCCCATCGTCTCCCCCACTTTAAAGGGGGCTCTGCACTTTTCTCTGCACCCCTATATTTTATTTGTGGCAGGGCTATGTCCCCTTCCCCTGTGTTCTCAAGCTCTCTCCTCTCTGCACCAGGGTGGCTACATGAGGGGAAATCGCTAGTGTAGACCTGCTGCATGGATATTACAAGTGTGCAACTGATTGTATTGGCGCGAGTTGCTTTTTGCCCTAGTGCAGTGTCTAATTGAGGGCATGTCTGCATGTGCGGCGGTGCAGCTGTACCGATGCAGCTGCGCCACTGCAGCGTGTCTGGTGAAGACGCTCTATGCCGACGGGAGAGCTCTCCTGTCAGCATAATAAGACCACCTCTGCAAACAGCAGAAGCTATGTCAGCTGGAGAACGGGCCGTGGTAAGAGCCACCCAGGGTATGTCTTCACTACCTGCCGGATTGGTGGGTAGCGATCGATCCAGCAGGAATCGATTTATCGCGTCTAGTCTAGACACGATGAATCGACCCCCAAGCGCTCTCCCCTCGACTCCTGTACTCCAGCGCCGCGAGAGGCGCAGGGAGAGTCGACGGGGGAGTGGCAGCAGTCGACTCACCGCAGTGAAGACACCACAGTAAGTTGATCTAAGTACGTCAACTTCAGCTACATTATTTGCGTAGCTGAAGTTGTGTAACGTAGATCGATTTCCCCCCCTCCCTGCTCCCCCAGTGTAGACCAGGGGTCAGGGAGCCCAGGCTGCTATGGGAAGCCCGGGACCCTCCACCTGCCTTGGGCAGGAACTGGGGTGCCTGAGAGCAGCCCTCAGACCGTGTCCCTGGCTCCAAAGGCACACCGCTGACCGTGGGACCCACGGGTGGGGGTTTTGGTCTGGCCTCCTGACCTCTCCCTGGGGCCTGCAGACAGGCTCTGCTGGGAGAGGAAGCCCTGTCCTGTCCTGGGAGGTGGCAGGGAGCCCTGGGAAGGTGATAGGCAGCCAAGAGCCAGGCAGGGAGGCCTCCTCTGGCACAGTTCCTGCTGTTACTGACGTGGCTTCAGTGGCCACTGCACTCCACCCGGGCTCACTCAGTTCCTGTGCCCTGGCTCCCGCTGCCAGGTTGTCCCTGCAGGGTCCCGCTGCTGGGTCCCTCCTGCTCCCAGTGACAAGCTGCCCCTGCTGCCAACTGGGCTTTGTGCCAAAGGCCGCTGTCCCTTGCAGCATTGCTCCTCCTGTCGTCTCTTGCAATTCCCAAATTGCAAGCCTGGGCAACGTCCTCCTGCTGTTCCCCAAACTATGCCCATGCCACCACTGCTCTACGCTTGCCCAAGGCTACTATGCCGATGTTAAAAAATGGGCAGGCATGACCCTTCAACTTTTGAAAGTGGGGGGGCCCTGGCTTCCCTGGTTCTGGGCCTGCAGGATGTGTGGGGCCCAAATGTTCTTTTTGCCCAGACCCCCAATAAATCTTAATCTGCGTCTGATTCATAACCCTGAGCTACATAAATTATGCCAACATAAACTGTAGTGTAGACACAGTCTAAGGCATTGCATTAGTGGATCTAAACTGATATATCCCCAATGTGTTGTGCACAAACTTCTGCTCTGAAGCCCCAGCCTGCCTATCCCTGTCTGCAGGAGGTCTCTTGCCTGCTGTAGATTTGTGACCTGAAAAGCTGCTCTGTTTCCTTTTAAACAGTGTGTGGAAAGCAGATTGATGTACTCACTAAATAAAACTAGTTGGCCAGGTTGCAAAGGCCTTGCAGCTGTTTGCCTGAATAATGTGAAGAAGAGCTCTGTGTAAGCTGGAAAGCTTGTCTTTCTCACCAACAGATGTTGGTCCAATAAAAGATATTGCATCATCCGCCTTGTCTCTAACATCCTGGGACTGACACGGCTACAACAACACTGCTTACATTAGTAATGTGATAACGTTTAAACGCTGCATCCGATCAATTCCAAAATTTTAGAGAATATTCTGGGCATCAGTGGTCAAAACCCTATCCAATAAACACTGGAAAAACACCAGAACACCAGAAATGGCTATTTGTTTCTAAGGGCTTGTCTATGTGGAGCAGTAATGCGCACTACGGGATGGGGGGTGATTTCTAAAGCTCGCTAATGTGTTGCAGATGAATTAATCCTTGTAGACCCTCTTGGTGGGCACTAAAGGTTCCCTAGTGCACTTTAATATAGTATTGTTTGAAACACAGTACTATGTTAAAGCACCCTAGGGAACATTAAAAGACTACTCATTAGAGTATATGCTATTGTAATGGTACATACAAAAACCCCTGAAAACCCCTGTGTTTTGGACATTTACATAAAACACAAATACTGCTCTCCCCTCCTATCCTCTGACAAATAAAATTTATAAACCCTCAAAACCAGAAGTTCTATCTATAGAGTAAATAACTGATAGCATAACAGTACCCCATCTCATCTCTTCATCTTCCCAAAGGAGTTTAATAGATTTACATTCAGAATGTCAATCTCCTAGACAAATAATAATGTGTGGAGGGTGGGAATGGGGGAGAACACACACCCAATGGCATAGGAGGAATGGGGAGGTACACACACTGGCATGGGGAGAACGGGAGGCCCTGGTATAGGACAATCTCACCGAAGCTGTTTGCAAGAAATTGAACTGGGAAGAAGGAATCAGAATTGACGGAGAACAGTTAACACACCTTCTCTTCGCTGATGACTGTGTAATATTGACAAAGGACACAGTAGAACTGGAGAACAAATTGCAGCAACTGCATACGCTCTCATGATATCAAATTGGAAGTGAACACTTCGAAGACGAAGTGGATGCGGAATGAGTATTGCACAGCAGGAATCATCACTGTAAATAGGAAAGTAATAGAGGAGGTCAACAAATATATTTACCTGGGTCAGCAGCTGAACAGAGACAACTCATTGGAAGGGGAATGCAGTAGGAGGAGAAAGGCGGGATGGGCAAGTTTCAACAAAATAAAGATGTCTCTAACGGATGATGAACTGCCCATGAAGAAAAGGAAAGAACTGTTTAACTCCACTGTTCCGCCAGCAATGATATACGGAGCGGAAAGCTGGTCAACGATGAAAGCGGAGGAAGAAAAATTCGCTGTCACCCAGAGAGCAATGAAACGGCGAATGTGTAAATATTGCTCCGTGATCACATACCGAATGAGGAGATCAGAAGGTGTACAGTGGTGACCGATGTAGTGCAGGCGATGTACGATGCAAAGCGGAGATGGGCAGGTCATGTAATCCGCAGGTAAGACAATAGGTGGACAACCTGCATTAGTTACTGGATCCGCAGAAAGAACGTGCTCGCAACAAAATGGAATTGTGTGGCGTCAGCTTGCGTTCGTGGAGGGACAGACGAGGACAATCTGGACAAAGGTGATTTGGAATACTTGTGAATAACTTCTTAAACAAAACTGTTATAGGGTAATTATGTTGGGGTTTTCCCACACAGATTTCCCTACTTGATGGCTGTTACATAATTTTCAGTGCAAGGTATACCTTAGTACACATACATACATACATACTCCCCTCCAATCTTCTCACTGAGATGACTTCTCAGTCTCTGGAATGTGGCATCAAAAGTGCATGTGTTATCTGGACTTCTCAGAGCCAGAGGAGAATACTTTAAATGACTGCTTCTTGGAGCAGCTGGTACAGGAACGCACAAGGGAAGAGGCAATTCTTGATTTAGTCCTGAGTGGAGCGCAGGATCTGGTCCAAGAGGTAACTGTAACAGGACCGCTTGGAAACAGTGACCATAATATAATAACATTTAACATTCCTATTGTGGGAAGAACACCTCAACAGCCTAACACTGCAAGCTGCATGGACACTTTTCAAAGACACTATAATAGAGGCCCAACTTAAATGTATACCCCAAATTAAAAAACACAGTAAAAGAAACCACGGTAGCTCTTTTTTAGTTAACAACCATTTAAAAGAAGCAGTGAGAGATAAAAAAGGCAACAAAGTGGAAGTCAAATCCTAGTGAGGTAAATAGAAAGGAGCATAAACACTGCCAAATTAAGTGTAAAAATGTAATAAAAAAAAGCCAAAAAGGAGTCTGAAGAACAGCTAGCCAAAAACTCAAAAGGTAATAACAAAATGTTTTTTAAGTACATCAGAAGCAGGAAGCCTGCTAAACAACCAGTGGGGCCCCTGGAGAATCGAGATACAAAAGGAACACTTACAGACAATAAAGTCATTGCGGAGAAACTAAATGAATTCTTTGCTTCAGTCTTCATGGCTGAGGATGTTAGGGAGATTCCCAAACCTGAGCCATCCTTTGTAGGTGACAAATCTGAGGAATTGTCACAGACTGAAGTGTTACTAGAGGTGGTTTTGGAATTAATTGATAAACTTAACATTAACAAGTCACTGGGACCAGATGGCCATTCACCCAAGAGTTCTGAAAGAACTCAAATGTGAAATTGCGGAACTATTAACTATGGTTTGTAACCTGTCCTTCAAATCGGCTTCTATACCCAGTGACTCGCCGATAGCTAATGTAACGCCAATATTTAAAAAGGCCTCCAGAGGTGATCCCAGCAATTACAGACCAGTACGTCTAACGTTATTACCGGGCAAATTAGTTGAAACAATAGTAAACAATAAAATTGTCAGACACATAGAAGAACATAATTTGTTGGGCAAAAGTCAACATTGTTTCTGTAAAGGGAAATCATGTCTTACTAATCTATTAGAGTTCTTTGAAGGGGTCAACAAACATGTGGACAAGGGGGATCCAGTGGACATAGTGTACTTAGATTTCCAGAAAGCCTTTGACAAGGTCCCTCACCAAAGGTTCTTACGTAAATTAAGTTGTCAGTGGATAAGAGGGAAGATCTTTTCATGGATTGAGAACTGGTTAAAAGACAGGGAACAAAGGGTAGGAATAAATGGTAAATGTTCAGAATTGAGAGGGGTAACTAGTGGTGTTCCCCAAAGGTCAGTCCTAGGACCAATCCTATTCAATTTATTCACAAATGATCTGGAGAAAGGGGTAAACAGTGAGGTGGCAAAGTTTGCAGATGATACTAAACTGTTCAAGATAGTTAAGACCAAAGCAGACTGTGAAGCAAAGATCTCACAAAAATAAGTGATTGGGCAACAAAATGGCAAATGAAATTTAATGTGGATAAATGTAAAGTAATGCACATTGGAAAAAATAACCCCAACTATACATACAATATGATGGTGGCTAATTTAGCTACAACTAATCAGGAAAGAGATCTTGGAGTCATTGTGGATAATTCTCTGAAGATATCCACACAGTGTGCAGCGGCAGTCAAAAAAGCAAACAGGATGTTAGGAATCATTAAAAAAGGGATGGAGAATATCTTATTGCCCTTATATAAATCGATGGTACGCCCACATCTTGAATACTGCGTACAGATGTGGTCTCCTCATCTCAAAAAAGATACACTGGCATTAGAAAAGGTTCGGAGAAGGGCAACTAAAATGATTAGGGGTTTGGAACGGGTCCCATATGAGGAGAGATTAAAGAGGCTAGGACTTTTCAGCTTGGAAAAGAGGAGACTAAAGGGGGATATGATAGAGGTATATAAAATCATGAGTGGTATGGAGAAGGTGAATAAGGAAAAGTTATTTACTTGTTCCCATAATATAAGAACTAGGGGCCACCAAATGAAATTAATGGGCAGCAGGTTTAAAACAAATAAAAGGAAGTTCTTCTTCACACTTCGCACAGTCAACCTGTGGAACTCCTTGCCTGAGGAGGTTGCTAAGGCTAGGACTATAACAGGGCTTAAAAGAGAACTGGATAATTTCATGGAGGTTAAGTCCATTAATGGCTATTAGCCAGGATGGGTAAGGAATGGTGTCCCTAACCTCTGTTTGTCAGAGGGTGGAGCTGGATGGCAGGAGAGAGATCACTTGATCATTACCTGTTAGGTTCACTCCCTCTGGGGCACCTGGCATTGGTCACTGTCAGTAGATAGGATACTGGGCTGGATGGACCTTTGGTCTGACCCAGTCTGGCCGTTCTTATGTTCTTAGAATAGCAGCCCCAGTTCCCCTCCAGTCTCTTCAGCGAAAGCAGACCAAAGATGCTCACAGCCAGCAGCAATTCCAGTCCCTGAGCCAAAAGTTCCATCACCAGCATCCAGCAAGAAGTCCACAGCCTGGATTCAAAGTCACACAGGTTCTGGGATGGGTTTTCATGGTGAGCACGCCTTAGTCCTCTGTTGTTCAACTACTGAATCCATGGGGCTGTCTCAAGCTCCCCTATTTATAACCATTCACACCCAGCTCTGACTGGCTTAGTTCTCAGATAGTGGATATGTGGAACCTGCTAGACTACTTGCTGTTAGTGGAAACCCTCTGACAGCTACTGAGCATGCTTAGAACTATCACACCTCCTTCTCTAGATGCCTCTGGGTCATTCTGACTACAGGTATGTGTACACAGCCTGTGGCAGAGAGTCTCCCAGCCTGGATTGGCAGACTTGGGTGAGTGGGGTTTGTGCTAATGCTCTAACTAAACATAGCTGTGAAGACAGTGCTTTGAAGTTGCGGCTTGAGCTCTGTGAAGTCTAGGGAGCGGGTGGGCATGTGGATTACAGTAGCACTCTAGCAAAGTCTATCACCTTCTCTTTCCTAAGGAAAACTCCAGTTTAGGTTAGGTGTAGTGATCAGGAGCTCCCTTTGCCTGGTCTACATTCAAAACGCCAAACCTACTCCACACAAATCAGCCCAGACTTGCCAGATGTTACCATCCCATGACCCTTGTCCTGAAGATCCCTTCTGAGACACTGTCTTTACTTACACGTCTCTTAGCTCCAGAGACCAAAGTCATGTATGCCAGCAGACTGCAGATGGTCCCCATGATAACAAAACCCCTGTGCACTGTTGCTGACATGTCATACAGAACTCAGTACAGGCGAGTCTCATCTTAAGCGCATTTAACATGCTCGAATTCAGCTTTATGCGGTCGGCAAAAACAAACAAAAAAAGAGAAAAATAACCATTTAAATACTGTAACTGTAGTGCGGGCGATTCCGCCCGCCATTACACTCAATGTAATTTTGACTATACGCGATTTTCGCTTTACGCACTGACAGCGGAACGTAACCCCAGCTTAAGATGAGACTTGCCTGTACTGAAATGATGGGTACTTGATCCCTCAAGGTACATATGCACTTCTTATATCAACTCTTCCAGTCTGCTCCAACTGATCCCTCTACAATTCAGTACAGCTACACTTAACACAGCTGGAGTGCGTGCAGATAAATGCTACAGGAATACAAGACACACAATGGCATGTTTTCTTAGTTGTCCTGTACATTTACTTATGGCACCACCCTTACTGAACCATTCCCAGTGGCTCTTACCAGCTTAATGGGACAGGTCAAGATTGCATTGTGGGGTGGCATTTCCCTTAACTCTACATTTCCTGGTTGTCAGAGGTTTGAGTGTAGTTGAATTTGAGGTTCTGGAGGGGCACAAGGCACCACCAGGCAACCTTATTTCTGCATTAATGAAGCTTTCGGGCAGTTAATTGTAAACAACAAAGGCTGTTTCTGGGTCTATTTAGTATAGCATCAATCCTGCGAAGCACCAAGCTCCTTCAGCTCAAGTATATCAGCTTGTGGGATCTGGCCATATATCTTCCCAGTGACCTCTCTTTCTTTTGCCAAAGTAAACCCAGAGACCATAGAATCTAGCTTGCAAGAGATCAGCGTAAATGCTGGGCTGTTTTGCACTGTCATGGCTAACAAACTGGAGCTGCTTTTGAATTGGAAAGATTTATAACAGCACCATTTCTTGTACTTACCAAAGCAGGAAGGAAGGCAGCATGTTGTCACAGGGCTTGAAAAATCCACAATGTAACATGAACAATATACAACTGTTGCTCTAAATTGTAGAACATGTGGTATGTTGGCTGGTAGGATTAGTAGATGTTGGGCAAATTTTTCAAGCCCTGTACTAACATAAATCAGTTGGCCATTAAAATAGTATGTGGGCAAGTCAGTGGGAAAGCATTGTTTCTAATTTCCCCTTAAAGCAGCATTCACTCTCTTAAATGCTCTTCATAGCAAGTTTTATTGGACTGACTTCTGTTGGTGTGCGATCCAAGCTCACACAGAGCTCTTCTTCAGGAATCAGGTCTGGGAAAGGTACTCGGAATGTCACAGATAAATACAAGGTGGAAGAGATTGTTTAGCATAAGTAGTTAACATGTATTTCAAGGGACCATTCAAGGTGAAGTGGCCTGTTAACACCCCTCTGGTCATAGGGAGGAAAGAAATGAGGGGTTGGGGGGCAAAGGCAGCTGGGAGGGGTTGTTAGTGGGTTATAGAGTGTTGTAATAAGCCATAAATCCAATATGTCTATTCAGTCCGTGGTCTTTAGTGTCTAGCAAAGTTATTAATTTAAGCTCGCAGGCTCATCTTTTGAAAGTGTTGTGCTGATTTCCTTTGAGGATGAGAACTTATAGGTCAGATATAGAGTGATTGCTTTGTGAAAAGTGTTCAGCCACATGTGATGTAGCGTTTTTCTCTTTATTCATTTTCCTGTGTGAGTTCATTTGAGAGCAGAGTGATTGGCTGGTTTTACCCACATAGTAGTTATTGGGGCTTTTATTGCATGGGATGAGATATGCATGTGTATGACCCATAGATCTTGAAAGGTGTGTTGTGGGGGGTGTTGATCATTGTAGCAGTGGAGATATGTCTGCAGGTTTTGCATCTGTTGTTCTGGAAGGATCTGGTGCCACTTTGAGTTGGTGTATCCTGGTCCATGGGGAGCTTGCTTCTGATGATGAGCTTTGGAGAGGTTTGGTGGGTTGTTTGAAGGCCAGAAGATGGGGTTCAGGAAAGATTTCTTTCAGGATGGAGTTGCCATTGAGTATGGATTGTAATTGCTTGATGATACCCTCTATGGGTTCCAGTGTGGGGTGGTAGATGACAATTAGGGGTGTGCAGTTGGAAGGGGTTTTATTTCTGTACTGAAGCAGGTTCTCTCTGGATATTTGGGTTCCCGTTCCGTGATGTGATCTACTTCTCTGGTGGAATGTCCTTGTTTGGTGAAGGTGGTTTTGAGTGTATTAAGGCGTATATCACAGAGTTTCCCCTCAGAACATATTTTGTGGGATGTGAGTGCCTGGCTGTAGATAACAGATTTCTTGGTGCATTTGGAGTGGTTACTGGGTTTATGAAGTTAGGTGTGATGATCTGTGGGTTTCTTGTATATAGTTGTCTGTAAGGTTCCAGTGTTGAAGCTGATTGTGGTGTTCAGGAAGTTGATGCTAGTCTGGGAATGTTCCAGAGGGAATTTAATGGATGGTTGGCTGTTGCTGAAGTACATGCCTCAATACAGAAATAACACCCCCCACCCCCACCCGACAGCACACCTCTCTTTGCTTGAAAGTTTGTCTCTCTGACTAACAGAAGTTCGTCCAATAAAAGATATTGCCTCACCCACCATGTCTCCCTAATATCCTGGGACCCACGTGGCTACAACAACATTACATACTTCACAGGATGTGCCATTTTTCCTTTCAGGATACTACTCCTGATGAGCTGCTCTCTGCTGTTATGACAGCTGTCCTTACGGATGTCAATCTGAGTCCTGAGAAAGTGGGAGATATCTGTGTTGGTAAGTGAGTCCTCTTCATCCTGAACTTAAACTTCCAGTCTTGGGCCCCTCTCTGAAAACAAGAGTGCCCTTTGTGACCAATGGATGCCGTCTATGCAGAGCTCTGAAATCAGTAGGCTGTTAACACTACACTAGACTAGTATTAGCTTAATCTCCAGTGCGTCCTCTGCTGGGGGGCTGTTTCCTCTTCTGTCAGGGGTATGGGCTCTGATTTAAGAGTTCTTCTAAAACACTGACTCTGGTGATCTTAATACGCTCAAGCGTCTGCAGAGTGTTAAATAGCCAGGGTAAAGGAAATGCAGCTAATCAGTTGGAATTAATGTCTTTGCATGCAGGCAATGTGTTGCAACCTGGAGCTGGGGCTTTCACTGCAAGAGTTGCCCAATTTCTAAGGTAAATTTTCTTCCTCCTTGAGTGAGACTCCTTTCGTTGTGTTCTCTGGCACCGAGTTCTCCTGGGTACTGAGAGAAAAGCGGAGATGTGATTCTTGAACTCTTCCAAAGCTAATGTTCCCTAATCTTTAAATTGGAAGTTAAACCTTGACTTGCAGTTCAAAGTCCCCGCTTATTTTGTATCTTCTCACACGTTTCAGACTGGGAGGATCAAGCTCTATTGCATAATATATTGTTAACTTTTACTATATTCTCTTACATGTAGTTACCAATTTCTAGCAAAACTAGCAAAATTGAGGTAGAAAAATAATTTTGGAAGGCAGGAAAGAAATTGGTAATGGTATGAACAGCCTCTCACCCCTAGAGGTGAATTCAGGTTGGGTTGGTAGTAACTAAGTCATTACTGCACAAATGATGTTTAGTGGCTCTTGTGAAATGATTTGTTGGCTCTGCCCAATACCTCGTGAATCATTGTCTCAGTTTCTTGCACCAGCACAACTGGCAATGATAGCAGAGAGGTTAAGGACTGAATTCTCTTCTCACTCCTAGTGGGGTTCACTGGATGTCAGGGTTGTGTCATTGGTGCTGTGTGACTAAACAGATTTCATTCTACAGGGACTTATTGTACCTGCTGCTGTTTGTCCCACAATACAGATCACTGAGTAGTGTAAAGGTCTTTTCTACACTACACAGTTGGGTTTTGTCGACAAAACAGTGGAGGTGTACACACTGCAATGCGCCTCCCGCTGATTTAACTCTCCTGCTACACCAACGAAATAAAACCATCTCAACGAGTAGCGTAGAGCTTTTTGTGACCAAGTGAGAGCGACGCAGTGTCAGTGTAGACACTGTGCTTGCTTATGACACCCTAAGTGGCCTCCAGGAGGTATCCCACAATGCCCATCATGAGCACTCTGGTCAGTAATTTGAATTCCACTGCCCTGCAGCCAGGTACACAGGCATGTACCCCTCCACCTTTAAAGCCCCAGGAATTTTTGAAATTCTGCTTTCTGTTTGCTCGGTGTGGACAGTTCACATAACATCTTTCCAGCTGTCAATGCCGACTTTCCACAGCAAACACGCTGTTGTCTGGAGTACACCAGAGTTGTTGAGTCTGTGAGGAGAAAAGGCTGTGCAGTCGCAGCTCCGATCCAGCCATAGGAACTTTGACACCTAGGAGCAGATTGCTCATGGCATAGAGGAGAAGGGGCACAAAAGGGACACGCAGCAGTGCCGTGCTAAGATCAAGGAGCTGAGGCAGGCATACCAGAAGGCAAGGGAGGCCAACAGTCGCTTTGGTGTGGCACCAAATGCATGCCGCTTCTACAAGGAGCTGCACACCATCCTCAGCGGCAACCCCACCTCCACCACCCAGAGCCCTGTGGATACTTCAGGGGGACTGGAGGCAGCAGCCAGCGGAGTCAACCCCGAGGATGAAGTGGTGGATGAGGAGGTAGAGTTGGAGGAGGATGTGGGACAGGAAACAGGGACATTCGGTGGTGTGGCAAGCCAGGACCTCTTTTTGACTCCGGAGGGGTCTAGCCAGTCCCAGTGCTCTGGCGTGCCTGAAGCGGGAAAGGGGAGCTTTGGTAAGTACTCGTTTTGCTTTGATACTGCACGGTTACATGAGGTAGAAGTGTCCTTTATTTTGTTACATGGTGCACATGGGAGAAGGGATAGAAACTAACAACACTAGATACTGTTTTCATCTGCTTCTCATTCCCCTATGCAGCTACACAGTGGGGACCCTGCAAAAAAAGTTTGTTAATGCACACCAGGATCACCTGAGAATCCCCCATAGAGATCTCTAGGAAACTTTCCTGAAGGTACTCTGCAACCCTCTGCCAAATGTTCCTTGGCAGAGCTGCTTTGTTTCTTCCCTCCATTGTAGGAAACTTTGCTGTGCCAGTTAGCAATTACTTCTGCAGGAATCAAAGCAGCACACAGGCAAGCAGCGTGCGGACTCGGTCTGAAGCCGCACACATGCAGGAGATGCCCCTTGCATCCTTGGTTACCCTCAGTAGTGAGATATCAGCTTCAATCACCCACATCTGTGGAAAACGGTGCCAGTATTCAGAATAGTGTCCCTAGATGCTTGTACTGGTCCCCTTCTGAAACCACCCAGACCCTTTGTCTCATTCTGCATCACCTCCCTCTGGGCCAAACTTATTATGTTTAGTGCTCCGGCCGTGTTGTGTGCTTGCCAAGGGAAAGCGAGAAAGAAGTGTATGTAACTTTTATGATTCATGATTGTGAGAGCACACACAATACTGACTCTGTATATTGTTTCTTTTGCTTCTGCAGGGGTGCCCTTTAGGACCAGCTCCTACACACTGGCAGAGCGCTTCCATCAGACAAGCAGGCGAACAAGGAGTAAGGAGGACAAGTTTTGAGAAGTGCTGCAATTGTCAGATCTTGCAGATAGCGAGCACAGAGTGTAGAGAGAGACAATAAATGAGAAACTAGAAATGGATACCCAGGAAAGGAAACAGGGCAGGAATGGATAATAGAGGGTCAAAGGAGCAGATGATAAAGCTCACAGAGGAGCAAACAGATGCTTATGTCCCTGATTGTGCTACAGTTGAAACATATCCGTGCTAGAGTCCCCCAGCAGCCCATACAGAACTGCATTCCATGCCCTCCACAAACTCCCCCCCCACATTCCTCTCATGTCTCTGGCCCTTGCACTCCACCCCTAGGGACGTGTTCCATAGTGACAGCTGGATTTACACACAGCTGTGAGAGCCTCATTTCAGAGAGTGCTGCTCAGTGTCATGTCTCCTGTAAGAAATGTAAATCTGTGTATTGCTGTTTAATAAAAACTTAGTCTTACAAGACAGTGATTCTTTATTTGTGTCCTACATGCAGTGGTTGCAGCAGAAATTCATACACCTTGGCAGTTGGCACATTTGCAGACTACAGTTGAAATTCAGGCAGCAATCATTACAAGGGTCATTCAAGGTGGCAAGTAAACAATGTCTGGCTGAATGCTTTACAGAAAGATGCATTACTAGGGCTCACTGTCTAATTGCTGCTTCAAAGCCTCCCTGATTTGAATAGCCCCCCGTTGAGTCTCTCTAATAGCCATGGTGTCTGGCTGCTCAAAATCAACTGCCAGGTGATCCACCTCAATGCTCCATTCATGGGGAAACTTTTCTCCTTTGGCTTCACAAATATTATGCAGAGCAGAGTAGGCTGCTATGACCATGGGAATAATTTCCTCATTGAGGTCTAAACCCTTTCATCTGCCAAACACACATTCTGCGGTCATTCGGCACCTGCTGAGCCTGTTGTTGAAGCAAACCTTGCTTCTGGGAAGATTTCCGGTGTAAGGCTTCATGAGCCACGGGAGTAAGGGCTAGGCTGGGTCTCCTAGGATCACTGTGGGCATTTAAACATCCCCTATTGGAATCTTCTGGTCTGGAAAGAAAGTCTTTGCATGCAGCTTTCTATACAGACCAGTGTTGCTGAAGACACGTGCGTCATGCACCTTCCCCGACCACCCTACATTGATGTCAGTGAAATGCCCACGGTGATCCACAAGCGCCTGCAGTATCATAGAGAAGTAGCCCTTTCTATTGATGTACTCCATTTCAAGATGGTCTGGGGCCAAAATTGGGATATGCATGCCATCTATCGCCCCACCTCAGCCATCCACTATTTCCTGCACATTGCCCAGAGTCACAGTCCTTCATAGCAGAAGGTGATTAGTGGTCCTGCACACTTGTATCGCTGCAACCCCCACAGTGGACTTCCTAACCTCAGACTGATTCACGACTGACTGGTAGCAGTCTGGAGTTGCCAGCTTCCGCACAGCGATTGCCACATGCTTTTCCAGCTTGAGGGCAGCTCTCGTTTTAGTGTCTGTGCACCACAGGGCAGGAGCGAGCTCCGCGCACAGTTCAAGGAAGGTGGCTTTGCACATCCTGAAGTTCTGCAGCCACTGCTTGTCATCCCATACCTGCATCACAATCCAATCCCACCAGTGGGTGCTTGTTTCCTGAGCCCAGTAGCGATGGTCCACTGTGCAGCTGCTCCGTGAATGCCAATATCAATCTTGAATTGTTTCGTTCCATGGCACGCAGCAGGGCAGGTACCACGAATTCTTGTTCAGATTTGCAGCTCATGAAATACTGCAGGATCTGTTGCGTTGTGTTTGTAATGCTCATCACAAGACGAGAGCCATGCAAGGATCCATGCTTTCAGGCAGAAATGGCGGGTGCAAAGTTTATAGGGGCATTTGAAAAACAGTGTGATACGTATTCGGAATCCCGTGGGATGATGGGATTTAGAAAACTGCATCATGGGGCTGTGAGCCCACTCCCATGATGCACTACAATCCATTCCCAGAAATCCAAGTGGCAGAAGGTGGCGATTTGCACAGTGGGATAGTTACCCATGGTGCACTGCTCTCCCTGTCATGCCACAGCACCAACAGCGGACAGGCTTTGCCGAAAGAAGGAGCATTGTGTGAACATGCAGAAGGGATGTAATTACAGTGGTTTATGATCGTTGACGTAATTTAAGTCAACTTAACTCTGTAGTGTAGCCATGGCCTTAGAGCAGTCTGACAATAGGTATATCTGTCATTGTGTTAGAATTGATTGAGTTAAAGATAATTTAAGAGATTATTTTCCACTTTAAATTTGTTATTGTTTTGGTATGTGGTGTCTTTCACTCTGTGCCTTATCTATTGTGTCTTCTGTTCTAGTGGCATTCCAGAGACCGTACCCTTATCATGTGTTAACAGACAATGTTCCTCTGGGTTGCAAGCTGTGATCAATATAGCTGGTAAGCATGTAATGAGCCTTATGGGCAGTCAGAGAATCAGAATTTTCCTTTATTGATGGTGATTTAGACTGCTGGACCCAGACTCTGAAATAATTATTTCATCCCTAATTCTCTCTTCCCTATGAATTTCTTATACTTTTGAGTCTGAATGAATATAACCTTTAGGTCTGGAAGAAACTTTCTGTGAAGATCCCATAATTCTACTCTGTAGAAATGTTAGTGAAAGGAACTCAATATATTCATAACAATCCTCTCTGAAAATTATCATCTGTCCTTGAAAAAGAGTGAGCTACCTTATTCCAAGAAAATATGATCCTCTGAGTAACAAGATACTGAACAAATATTTACTGCTAAGTGGTGGTAAAAATGTTTACACAGTACTTTTGTTGCAGGTGGCATCAGAAATGGGTCTTATGACATTGGTTTGGCCTGTGGGTAAGAATATTTCTATATAGACATTTACTCCTGTAGACTTCTTGATAGTGTTTCGCCTTCTATAACATCTCTCATATGAGAATCTCAAAGTGCTCTGCAAACAAACTACAGAACTCCCTTGAGGTAGGCATTATACCCGTGTTACAGATGGGTGAATAGAGTCTCTGAGATTAAGGTCTGGACTTTTTTTAAGTGACTAGTGATTTTGGGTGCCTCATAGGAGATGTTTTAAAGTGGCTTGACTCTTTCAGAAGTTTTGAGAACCCACCCCCTGGAAACCAGGCTCATTTAAGGTGTGTCAAGCAGGGCACTCAGTGTACCTAATTTCTCTTGAAAATGTAGCCACAGTTACTTGTCCACAGTGTCACAACAAGGCAGTGAGTAATCTGAGAATGGAACCCAAGAACCGAGTGCTAGTTAGTCATCCAACCCTTATAAGCCTTTTTTAAAGAATTGGTTTGTTAGGCCCCTCTGGTGCCCTGCCATCGTGTGCGATTTTTGTGTGTGGAGATCTAAAACGCCATCTGTGATTGGCTTTTTATAAGCCTCTGGTCAGCTTGTGTTGATCTCAGATCCCAGTTGTCTCATATATGGAAATGAACATCTCATCTGTGCTAGTCACTGATGTTCCACAGGAGTGTAACAGATATTTCTTTGTTCACTGCTATAAATGCAGTTGAATTAATACATGGGACTTCTTCTCTTCGTGCTGGCGACTTTACTGGAACAGTGAGTGGGATGAAATGTACTAATGCTGTACAGAGTAATGAAATCATGAGCTGGGACATAACACACTTCAGAAGAATCTGAATTATACAGAAGCAAAATATTTTAGATTAAAGTAGTGGGTGTGCATTTACCTCTGAAGTTTCCAATCTGGCTTGGGTTACTAACCTCAATCAGTAGGGAGATCACTTTGTAGCCTTCAGTGACAATCTGTTACCCTATCATTGCTCTTATAATTCAGCATCATTGAAAATTTCAGCTTAAGCAAAGATTTATGAGAGTTGGGTATGTCTGCAGAGTAGCTCGGTGGCGTAATTCTCAAGTCAGGTAGACATCCATGTACTAGCTTTGCTCGAGCTAGTGTACTAAAAATAGCTCGGTGGCAATGGCAGCTCGGGCTAGCTGCCCAACGAATACAGTCCCACTGGACCGCCTAGGTACAGCCTAAGCGCCTGCCTATGCTGCTGTGGCCACACCACTAGTTTTTAGGCGCTAATTTGAGCCAAACTAGTGTGTGGATGTCTGCTCGAGCTGAGAATTGCACCCTTTGGCTGCTGTGTAGATGTATCCTCAGATAAGAGAACTAGTCACTACCCTTCTTAGGACTGCTGTGAAGTAACTAGCATAGCAAGGTAACAAGTCTGTCTGTCTGGATGTGTGCATAGCAAATAGCATGTACCAGGAACAGCCTTGTGTGCTGGCTGAACACTTGGTACTCTCTTATCATTCAAATTCATTTCTGTTAACATGCTTGTTCCAGGAAGTCTTTCGACAGTAACCCTCTGAGGTGATGCAATTTAAAGGCCCTGGATGGCTTATGGCACTGGATCCAGCCCTTTCACCTCCTGATCCACAAGTTGTTGGGCTCAGTGCAGGCAGGAGTCACTGGGTGAAATTCTACGGCCTGTGTTGTGCAGGAGGTCAGGCTGGATGATCACAATGGTCCCTTCACATCTTGTGTTTAGTAACTTTATGGATTTTAATGAACAAATGTTAAACAAAACAGCTTTTATGTGCCGAGCCCTTTACGTAACCAGACACTATTCCCCTCCCACTTGTCTCCTTTTACCTTAATCATGCTCAGTTGTTGTCATTCACTCTAATTTAGAGCCTGAGTTTTGCCATCCTTACTCTGAGTAGTTTCAGTGGTGTCAATTTAAGTAAGGAATAAGATACTACTCAGAGTAAAGGTGCAGGATCAGACCTCTAAATTGTTGGCTACTTGGGGTGGGGACATCATTTCCTGCTTGCCTGATGGTATATAAATAATATGGCTGGAAAATAGATACATGGATGGTATAGGATATAAAAGCAAACCCTTATCCCATTTTAGGATTTACAGCTTGATTTAACTTTACATTAATTTATTAGTGTAATAAATGGCTTCACAATCATACAATAGATGTTTTCATTTCTTAATCTGTTATCTCTCTTATAGGACAAAGGCTGCAGCATCTGTGATCTCTTTGTTGCATAGTAATCCTTTCTTGTTCATGTTGTGCAATACAAGACAAATGGCACCACTCACATGAAGTCTCTCTGTAGTGGTTTCATTAGCACTTGCCCTGTTAGGCTCCTAGCCAGCTTTTTTTAAGCTGCAACTCTTGCATTTTTATTGCTTTTGTTTATATTTTACCAGTGGAAACTCCTGCCCAGAAACATTTGCTTTCCCATTATGTTTACTGCAGAGAAGGGCTCCCAGAACAACCAGTAACTCTCCTTCCCATGCTGGGAAAATACTAGAAATGAACTGACACTGTGATATTCTGCCCTAGAATAACAACAGGCAGCTTAATCTGTAGGGAGGTGGTTTTATTGCTTTACATTTATGTTGCTGATTGAAACCAGAGTGAGGCACAGGTCAGGTACCAGTTGCTTCTGCAGTATGATATACAAGGTTTTTATTAGGATTCTGAGCTTTTGACTCTGCTAATGGTATTAAATTTGCATGAATTCTTCTAAGGCAAACAGTGGTAGTAAATTCTAACTTTTCTTCTTCCTGTTCAGAGTGGAAACAATGTCCCTCAGAAATGCAGGCAACCCTGGTGATGTTAGCTCACGTATGATGGACAATAGTAAAGCCAGAGATTGCCTTATTCCTATGGGGTAAGGATTATTTTCCTTCCTAGAACTTAGTGATTTTTCTTGACTGTGTATCTCATAAGACAGTGTTTTGTTATATTTAAAAATGCACCAAACTTATTGGCTCAAACTTACTCTCTTCAATGGTTGACCTTTAGATCCGCTACTGAAGTCTGTGCACTTCAGTGTTACCTGTGGTAATGGTAGAAGATTAATTGTATAAGGACTGGTAGTTATCCAGACCTTTTGAAAGCAGTCTTCGTTGTCTTACAGTAAAGATCAATGGCTTAATTAGCAGGAGTAGGAGAACATTTTGAGGGGCTCAGAACTGCAAATTTTTAGTGTTTCTAGAAATTTTGCTGCATTTCACAAACGCTCAAGTTTCTATTGCTTTCCATTGTGGAGATGCAGCCAGAATCACATTAGGGGCTACCTCTGCACTCCCCTTCCCCCCAAGGGCTGCGTGTGGGGCCTTTGCATCTCTCCCAGCCCCTCTTCATTTGGAGAACAAGGGAGCGGATTTGCAACGTGACATAATTCTGTCATGTGGTACTGCAGAACACTAAGCCCAAGGAGGGCTCAGTCAACTTGAGCATAGCGCTTGTACTCTTCCCTCTCTGCTTGTCTTTGATGGCAAATGGAATTTTAATAATCTTCTGTCTCGGTGGATTAATACCAGTGGTATTTTTTCCCAGAATAACCTCAGAAAATGTGGCAGAAAGATTCGGCATTTCCCGAAAGAAGCAAGATGACTTTGCCATGACTTCTCAGCAAAAGTAAATACCTGGGTTTTATTTGTGCGCCAAGGAGATAAAAATTACATGGATAATCTAAAATGCTTGATTTCTATAGAGAAAACTTTCCTGTTTCCCATTAACCGTTTTTGTGTTATCCTGTGGTAAAGGCTTAAAATGTAACATTTCAAATAACAGCAATGTAGTGAGGTGTAAATAGGCGACAGCTAAGAGAATGAGGATCCTGGTGGAGGTGGGGGTAGCTGTGACTCCTGAACTGTAATGGGAGTCACATGACTAAACCCCTTTCTTCTTAGCATATGCACAACATGCTTGAGTTGGCACGTGACCAGGATTCATCACCAAATTTGGTCTGCTGGTTGGATCATTAGCTTCCCTGGCTGAGGCTGGGTACTGACAGGGAGTGCAACGTGAATGCTGATCCATGCCCCCCACTAAGCCCACTGTGTACATATCGCTAGAAAACTTAGTCTAGAGTGTTTAGAGTATCCGTAGTTGAGATCAGGTTTTCTGTATTTCCCACCACCCAGATGGATCACAGCTTTCATGGTTTCTGTGAAACCCAAAGTATAGTTGAATGTGCTTATACTAGCTTTAGCTAGATAGCTTGAAATCCCCTTGGACTGAAGTCGAATGCTGTGGTAGAAGGAGGCTTTTCTGGAAGGGAAAGTGTGGGTGCAGACAGTAAAAATGTCACTTCTAGAGAAGCCCTAAACTTGTGAGTGTAGCTGGCAGTCATTGCTGTGGGTGTTTTGCTTCATATGAGCCCAGTACAAACTCTAGTAACCTATCCTTTCCTTTGATTAAATTATTGCAAAACTAAATTGATTGATTTCCTGGTGACAATAGAACTGTTCTGATAGATATCTGATAGATAATCCATTGCTGACTATGGATCATCTGCAACAATTGGCACCAAGGAGTCAAATTAAATTACAGTAATAGTCTAATCCAGTGGTTTTCAAACTTTTTTCCTGAGGACCCAGTTGAAAAAAATTGTTGATGCCCACGACCCAGCGGAGCTGGGGATGAGGGGTTTGGGGTGTGGTAGGGGCTCAGGGCTGGAGCAGAGGGTTGGGCTGCGGGGTGGGGCCAGGAATGAGGGATTCAGGATGTGGGAGGGGGCTCTGGGCTGGGGCAGTGGGTTGCGGTGTGGGAGGGTGTCAGGGCTCTGGGCTGGGGATGCAGGCTCGGGTGGGGCTGGGGATGAGGGGCTCTGGGTTTTGGGGGGGCTGGGGCAGGGGGTTGTGGTGTGGGAGGGTGTCAGGGTTCTGGGCTGGGGGTGCAGGCTCTGGGGTGAGGCCAGGGATGAGGGGCTTGGGGTGCAGGAAGGGGTTCCGTGTTTGGGGAGGCTCAGGGCTGGGGCAGGAGATTGGAGTTGGGGCACGGACTTACCTCCGGTAGCTCCTGGTCAGAGGCCCAGCTGGGGCGCAGAGGCAGGCTTCCCGCCTGTCCTGGCACCGCGGACCGCGCCGCGCCCTGGAAGCAGCCAATAGCAGGTTTGGCTCCTAGGCAGAGGCGCGCAAGCAGCTCCGAGTGGCTCTCGCCCGCCGGCACTGCCCTCCCCCCCCAGCTCCCATTGGCCAGAAACTGGCCAATGGGAGCGCAGAGCCGGTGCTTGGGGCAGTGGCAGCACGCAGAGCCCCGTGGCCCCCCTGCCTTGAAGCCAGACCTGCTGCTGGCTGCTTCCAGGGCGCAGCACAGTGTCGGAACAGATAGGCACTAGCCTGCCTTAGATGGGCAGCACCGCCGACGGGACTTTTAACATCCTGGTCGGCGGTGCTGACCAGTGCCTTATGTGGGTCACGACCCAAACTTTGAAAAACACAGGTCTAATCAAGTGTTGCCTGGTCCAACTATTTATGTAATATAGGAAGCCACTGCACAGGCTAACCTTTAGATTTTGGCCCTGCTCCTAGAAAATTTGGTGTGGTAACTTTTCTTATTGATATTGGACCAGTAACATAAAAAGGTATGTGTACACACTCATCCCCGCTAGCAGGAGAACAGGGTGCTGCTCTGTCCTTGGTCTTGGGGTATCTGCAACTGTACTGGCTCATCCTTCAGCATTTCACTCTTATCTTTTACTTTCCTGAACCATTACATTTGTTTAAGTATCAGTTCACTTTTTGAATGAAAGCATGAAGTGGTGGGGTTGTATTTGAGCAACTCTTAATAGTCACCTATTCAGTAGATGGTACTCTTCTCTGACTCATAGGAATAGGAGCATGTGCTGGTGGAAGTGCCATTTCTCAAATCAGATGTCCAGTAGGGGTCCTTAAACCCCTTGTTGATGTAAAAGAGCCCTTTGTACTTTTTGAAATAGAGTATTGCATCGTAGTGTCGAAATCAAATTCCAGTTTGGTTAATTGCATTCAGCCCCTCCTAAACAGGACCAGTAATTTTAGTTGAATACAGTATTTTTATTTTCTGTCCCAGACATAGTGTTTCTCTGTGCTGAAAGAGCTGCTGCACTCCACTCCACCTGCATTTTGGTGCTAGGTGAAGTGATTCTGGTGTATGTAGTTTGATGAATTATGTAACATGCTCTGGAATACTTCTGGGATGAAATTAGATATTTAAATGTTAGTGCATTATGCCAATAGATTGCAACACCCCGGCATAAAGTTCAACTTCTCTTTATCGGAAGGCAGACGGGAGTGGGGGAAACTTGATACATTCTTTGGTAACTAGCAGGAAAACGTAACTGTCTTCATGCTGCTTAGCTTGCTGAACCTGTACTTAAACTCTTAAAGAATGAACGAGTCCAACCGTATGTTTTGTTTTGACATTTTTGAAATATTTTGATTTTAGATTTGATGTGACCTTTTGGTTCAGAATTTCCTTTAATTTTATTTAAATAATTAAAGGAGTGTCTGTGTGTGTTTGTGTGTATTGCCAGAGAACCAAAAAAATCCATTATTCACCCAGCTCTAGTGATAGCAGGGGTAGAACCTGGCTCTTCCTGCTTCAAAAACATGGCCTCCTACCACTTATGCTAAAGGAGAATTTTCGTTATGTTAGCAGCATAGGGCCCATTGCACACAGTTGTGCAGTTTTATTTCCATTTGTTAAAGAACAACACTTTACATACTCTACTATTTTTAAGCAATGAATGATGCATCTGTAAACCAATTCCTTCATAATTTATGTTGTCGTTAATTAGCTCTGGTGATTTTAGAAGCATTTGGTACAGTCCTACTCCAGATTTTTAACCATTCATGCATTCTATACTAATAGAGCTGCGAGAGCTCAGCAGATGGGATTGTTTAAAAATGAAATCATTCCAGTGAGGACTACTGTTAAGGATGACCAGGGCAATCAGAAAACCATCACTGTGCTTCAAGACGAAGGGATCAGACCTAGTACAACTCTGGAAGGCTTGGCAAAACTCAAGCCTGCCTTCAAGGAAAATGGCTCCACTACAGCTGGTAAGCACTCTAAGGGCTGGTCTACACCCAGCTGCTAGTTCGGTGGCTGGGGATCGAAGTTCTGGGTTCGACTTATCGCGTCTGGTCTGGACGCGATAAGTCGAACCAGGAAGTGCTCGCCGTCGACTGCGGTACTCCATCTCAGCGAGAGGAGTACCACGGAGTCGACGGGGAGCCTGCCTGCCGCGTGTGGACCGCGTCTGAACCGCGGTAAGTTCGAACTAAGGTATGTCGAATTCAGCTACGTTATTAACGTAGCTGAATTTGCGTACCTTAGTTCGAATTGGGGGGTTAGTGTAGACCAGGCCTAAGTCTATGAATAGTTACTTTTGAATCAGTGTTCTGTTGGCATGCAGTGTTAGCCATTTTGTTATCCTCCCAGTCCCACCTGCGTTACTGGTAACTAAACATGCCCAGGCAAAGGTGATATTGTCAGTGAAATATCTCCCAACAGGTAACTCCAGTCAGGTCAGCGATGGAGCTGCTGCAGTTCTACTGGCAAAACGCTCTAAAGCAGCACAGTTGGGGCTTCCAGTCCTAGGGGTGTTAAAATCTTATGCTGTGGTTGGAGTCCCACCTGATGTCATGGGCATAGGGCCAGCCTATGCCATTCCAGTAGCTTTGGAGAAGGCTGGTAAGGTATTGTGTTTTTTGTTCTGTTATACAGTGACAAGCAAAATGGGGTCCTGGTCCATGAGTAGGGGACCTAAGTGCTGCAGTATTATAAATCCTAATGTGATCTCGGTCACTTCAGCTCATGGAGTTATTTAGCAGCAGTGGGAATACTGAGTCATTACATTCATAATCTTAGAAGAAATCCTGCCTAGGATTACTGTAAGATTCTATTCACATGCATTACAAAATATAAATAATCATTTCGTTTGTATGTGCTCAGAAACTTGCATTGAATCCTTTTACAGTTCCAGCAAAGCGTTAATAAGTGTAATACATGATTTGTTCTCTGATGTTGTGCTTCTCTCATCTTAATGTGGGTGAGACACTCCAGTCTGAAATCATATGCCTGTAAATTAACCTCATTATTAATGAATACTCTTCCAGGATAGGCCAGTTCAAAATGGCAGCTATTTATATTGTGTAAATAACCATAGTATTTTACATGTTTTATCCATGGAATTTGAGCTGTTTCTATAATTCCTTTCATACTCCAGGAATCTCTCAGAATGAGTTTGGATATGGCTATTGGAGAAACGAGGCAAATTTAACAGCAGTTCTTTTGCTCTCACATCCTCTCTGAAAATATCCTAAGATCTTTAACCTCTACAAGGGTTGGGAGGAAGGGAATTTTGTTTATATCTTATCCAAAAGTCTAGTAGTGATACTTAAATCATTATGCATAATTTTAAATTTTATGGCCTTTGATATCTAACTATGCTGCAATTACCCATATGTCCACTCATTCCTGTGGGGGGGGAAGTGGAAATGTTTCATTGAAAGCCTTCTATTTAGGAATATTTTCTTTCAGACACTATTTTTTCAGTTATTAAATCTCCTTCTAACGTCTGATCTCTCTCTAACACACAGGTTTGACTGTGAATGATATTGATATATATGAAATTAATGAAGCCTTTGCTAGTCAGGTGAGACTGCCCATCTTGTTTAATTTTGGTTTTCTAGGCTGCTTGGTGGCTGAGCAGAATTTCATATTGGTTACAACTGTAAATGTAACAGATCTAGTAAGAGGGGTGTTTAATAAAAACCTAGATGGAATCTTCATTATAGTGTCTTCTGCTTTAGAAACCAAACTGAAGTGTGTTTAAAATCTCCCTAATTGTATCTTATGGCTTATTTTATAAAGGTGAATTTATAAATATATCAGTCTAGCTCAGTTCCCCATGTGTCTTGGATACACAATGTAGTTCCAGCCTCTTTCATAGAGGTGCATGTAGGTGCTGAAGACAGACCTACCATCTTCACTCTCAGTATGCAACACAAATCATATAGGCTCAGTTACTAACACAAATGTATTTTAAATACTTATTTGGAGTGGTAAATCTGAATGCCATGCTTTCCCTTAAATTATATATTTTGAGCTAAATTCATCCCTTGTGTAAATCCCCTGAAGACAACAGACTTACACTAGGGATGCATCTAGCCAGTTGTGTTCAGTGAAGCTTTGCAATTGTATACAAATGCAAGGTGCCCAATACTAAGATGGGTGAACTTGAGTGCCTGCTATTAAATGAGGAGATTGATATTACAGGCATCACAGAAAATTGGTGGAATGATGATAATTATTGGGACATGGTAAAACCAGGGTATAAAATATATAGCAGTCACAGGATAGGTCATATTGGTGGGGGAATGGCACTATATGTGAAAGAAAACAGTCAAATAGAGTAAAAATCTTAAATGAATCAAACAGTACCATAATATCTGTATGGATAGAAATTCCATGCTTGAATAATAAGTGTATAGCAGTAGGAATATATTACCAACCTGATGGCCATGATGATGGTGATTGTGAAGAGCTCAGGGAGATTAGAGAGGCTTGAAAAACAGAACATCTAATAATAATGGGGGATTTCAACTATCCCCATATTGACTGGGCACATGTCACCGCAGAATGGGTTGCAGAGATAAAATTTCTAGATACCATTAATGACTGCTTCTTGGAGCAGCTAGTCCTGGAACGCACAAGGGGAGAGGCAATTCTTGATTTAGTCCTAAGTGCTGCTCAGGATCTGGTCCAAGAGGTAAATATAGCTGAATCGCTAGGTAAAAGTAACCGTAATGTAATTACACTTTCCATCCTTGAAGGGTGGAAAATACCCCAAAAAACCAACCATAGTAACATTTAACTTAAAAAAGGGGAACTATGCAAAAATGAGGACGCTAGTTAAATGAAAATTAAAAGGAACAGTCACAAGAGTGAAGTGCCGGCAAGCTGCATGGAAACTTTTTAAAAACACCAGAATAGAGGCTCAAACTACATATACACCACAACTAAAAGTAAAACAGTAACAGGTCAAAAAATGCCACCATGGACAAACAGCAGAGTTAGAGAGACAGTTAGAGACAAAAAGACATCTTTTATTAATTGGAAGACAAATTCTACTGAGCATAAACTGTGGCAAGTCAAGTGTAAAAGTATAATGAGACAGGCCAAAAAGAATTTGAAGAGCAACTAGCAAAAGACACAAAAACTAACAGCAAATTTGTTATAAGTACATCAGAAGCAGGAAGCCTGTGACAAAATCAGTGGGACCACTGTACGATTGAGGTGCCAACGGAACATCAAGGTAAACAAGGCCGTTGCAGAGGATGAGGGAGATTCCCACACCGGAGCCATTCTTTTTAGGTGACAAATCTGAGGAACTGTCCCAGATTAAGTTGTCAGGAGAGGAGGTTTTGGAACAAATTGATAAATTAAACAGTAATAAATCGCCAGACCCAGGTGGTATTCACCAAAGAGTTCTGAAGGAACTCAAATATGAAACTACAGAACTACTAACTGCAATGTAACCTATCATTTAAATCAGCCTCTGTATCAGATGATTGCAGGATAGCTAATGAAACTGATTTTTTTTTTTAAAAGGCTTGAGAGATGATCCTGGCAATTACAGGCCAGTGAACCTAGCTTCAGTACCAGGCAAATTGGTTGACACTGTAGTAAAGGACAGAATTATTAGACATACAGATAAACACAATTTGTTGGGGAAGAGTCAACCTGGCTTTTGTAAAGGGAAATCATGCCTCACCAATCTATTAGAATTCTTTGAGGAGGTCAACAAATGTGAACAAAGATGATCCAATGGATATAGTATACTTGGACTTTCAGAAAGTCTTTGATAAGATCCCTCACCAAAGGTTCTTCAGCAAAGTATAGGCAGTCATGGGATAAGAGGGAAGGTCCTTTCATGGATCAGTAACTGGTTAAAAGATAGGAAACAAAGGGTCGGAATAAATGGTCAGTTTTCAGAATGAAGAGAGGTAAATAGCAGTGTCCCCCTGGGATCTGTATTAGGACCAGTGCTGTTCACCATATTTATAAATGATCTCGAAAAGGGGGTAAGCAGTGAGGTGGCAAAATTTGCAGATGATACAAAACTACTAAAGATAGTTAAGTCTAAATCCGACTGCAAAGAGTTACAAAGGGATCTAACAAAACTGGGTGACTGGGCAACAAAATGGCAGATGAAATTCAATGTTGATAAATGCAAAGTAATGCACATTGGAAAACATAATCCCAACTATATAAACAAAATGATGGGGTCTAAATTAGCTGTTACCACTCACACAAGAGATCTTGGAGTAATCATGGATAGTTCTCTGAAAACATCCACTCAGTGTGGATGTCAAAAAAGCTAGAAGAATGTTAGGAACTATTAGGAAAAGGATAGATAAGAAAACACACAATATCATAATGCTACTACATAAATCCATGGTATGCCCAATCCTTGAATACTACGTGCAGTTCTGGTGGCCCCATCTCAAAAAAGATATATTAGAATCGAAAAAGGTACAGAGAAGGGCAGCAGAAATGTTTAGGGGAATGGAACCGCTTCCATATGAGGAGAGATTAAAAAGACTGGGACTGCTCAGCTTAGAAAAGAGACGACTAGTGGGGGATATGATAGAGGTCTGTGAAATCATTAATGGTGTGGAGCAAGTGAATAAAGTGTTATTTTACCCCTTCACATAACACAAGAACTGGGGGACCTGATGAAATAAATAGGCAGCAGGTTTAAAACAAACAAAAGGCACACACAAGGCACAGTCAACCTGTGGAATTCATTACCAGGGGATGTTGTGAAGGTCAAAAGTGTAACTAGGTTCAAGAAAGAGTTTGGTTCAAGGAGGATCGGTCAATCAATGGCTATAAGCCAACATGGTCAGGGATGCAACCTCATGCTCTGGATGTCCATAAACCTCTGACTGCCAGAAGCTGGGGCTGGACATCAGGGGGTGGATCATTCAATAAATTGCCCTGTTCTGCTCATTCCCTCTGAAACATCTGGCATTAGACACTGTCAGAAGACAGGATACTGGGCTATCTGGAATATTGGTCTGACCCAGTATGGCCATTCTTATGTTAATCCAGGTTGTTCCCCAGTATGGGATACATGCTGAGAACTGACACACGTGATTAATTTCACAAGGACATGCTTGATATGTCTTTCTAGGTTGTGTATTGTGTTGAGAAACTGGGGATCCCAAAGGAGAAGGTCAACCCCCTTGGAGGAGCTATAGCATTGGGGCACCCACTAGGCTGTACTGGGGCTCGTCAAGTTGTCACTTTGCTCAATGAACTGAAGCGAAGGGGAAAACGGTGAGTATTTAAAATAATGTGGTAAATAGTTGTTTCTGTAAAGTATCTACAAGGTAATAGTCAAAGCTTGTGATGTCCCTTCCTTAAAATGGAGTGTTCATGTTTCTACCATAGCCTGGAGGATAGTAGGAGATGGCAGGCTATTAATTGCTAAACAAGTTGAGTAAGAGCAACTCAGATGTCTTCAAACAGGGTAGAGAAACTTAGTTGAGAGTTTCCTTAGTTTAGAGTTACACACAGCTTATTTCTCCAAAAATTCTGATGGATAGCATGAGAGTTTCAGAGTACACCTGGAGTAGATCATAGCTGAGCTTCCTGAAGAGTAGTGGAGGGAGGCAGTGTGGTGGTTTTCTTGTGGCAGTATTCTGAACTGATCCCATCCCTTCGTATCAGAGGGTGAGTTTCTCCCTCAATATGACCTCAATCAAAGCAGAGTCCTAAAGCTCACCGCCTCTATAACCCACGTCCCCCCTATTAATTTATCTGCTTTGATGGCTGAGGGGCACAGTTCTTAAAGTGCGTCGCTCTGAGGAGAGTGGATATATCTGTGATGCCTTGGGGCATGTAAGAGTTGGCTGAGGAGAATCTTGTACAAGGAATGCCTCTTACCCACTTCAGGGAAATAGGCACCAGAGACTGTTCCTGAATTAGAATCTTTGTGTATCTAAGCCACCCTTCAGGATTGTGGGCAGTATAAGTTATCTTTATTCACTGATTTTTTTCAGGCAATCTAGAACCAGAGTTATTGTTTCTAACCACACACTAACTTGTTTTGTTCCAGAGCGTATGGTGTTGTATCCATGTGCATTGGAACTGGTATGGGAGCTGCAGCAGTATTTGAATACCCAGGGAAGTGAATTCCATTGTACAAGAGAAGCACAGCATCTGACTCTTCATTCTACAATGATAATGAATAATTTGCACTGTAAAAATGCAAGTGGGTTCAGGAATTTGTTTAATGGATCTTGTTTACTGATATTAGGCACAAATGTCTAAAGGGTATAAATGTATGTGCACTGTATACTGAAATACTTTGGGGTGGGAGGAAACGAGCTTGGTGGCTGCTTCAAAGCTAAGGTGTGCAAATGCCAGGGGACATAGGTGAGCTCAATTCAGCCAGTTTTGATCTTAAAAATAGAGGCCCCAATTCATATGCATTTATGCATATGAATAATCCCACTGGAGTCAATGGTACTCGTATGTAAAATTACTCATGTGGATCCAAGGGATCAGGGCTATAATTCATAAAGATGAAGTTCATGTGGGTCTTGCTTTTTTAAAAGATAGATGTTAAGGTATAGTTGCTTATGCAACTAAATGTTGATGCACATGGAACAATTTTTCCAACACATTATATATGTAGATTTTTACTACCCAATGATAAAGTTTTTAAGGGATCATCCTGGGAAGATTGATTAAATCAATAGCAACAATGAAAATATGTTGTTGTTTTTTAAAGTGGTTAAACCATGGTATTTCACCAACAGTCTGACTGATTACATTCAGGTTATAACTATCCTTTATGGCTCATCAAATTTGTCCACATGCCCAGTGTGTGGTTTTTTTTTATTATTATTTAAAAAACTCCCATGTTTTTCTATTAAACAAATTTGGGCAGAGTAGATGGAATTGTAAACGAGTTTATCCATTCATAAATAATATTTCTCTTGTAAATGAGAATGATGAAATAAAAGGTAGAGAAGGGTTGGACAGGCTGCCAAAACTAGTAATTGTAAAATAAAAGCTGACCATTCCATCCTTAACTTTACAGCATTTTTACTTAATTTTAGCTTGTTTTGTGACTTCTACGAAAATCAGTCTTTTTTCTGAATTAACATTTAATACAAGCTCATTTTGTATCTCAGTATCCTAATATAGGACTGATTTTGGCACCTGGAACACTACATGAATATCAGGAGCATTCTCCATGAGTCAGTATATTTTATTACCAGTGTAAAGACATACTTTTTGTATCGTACAACCATTTCCCTTATATACTATCTTCAATAGCAGGCTAATGTACTTTGGTCACATTAGGCGTAGAGTTGGAGATAACCTTGAGACAGTTATTATGGAAGGAATGGTGGAGGGTTATCCTAGTAAGGGATGCTCAGAAAGGAAATGGATGAGGTGTGGCCGATCACTGGAAGGTTAGCTGCTAGAAGTTAGTGATAGATTGTGAAGGCTTCCAAAAATTCTGCTATGATGTCACTGATATACAGACATGAATAAATGGATTTAGTTACTAGCTTCAAAAGACCATTTAAACTCCTAGTGCTAGCTGTTTTAAAAGAAAATGCACTTATTGTCATCTGACATTACTTTAGAAATGTTTAAATCAGCGATACAAGCTGAAAAGTTGTGTCCTGTTTCTTGGTTATGCACTTAACATAATTGTGTACTTGAATGTAATTGCTATATTCTAAAAATAAAGATCAGTAATTAAAGGCCACTGTTAAAGATGGGCTGAATTTTTGATATTCTTTCCCTACTAATGGGGAAAAAGCCCACTAAACTAGTCACACTTATTCGAATGGTATGTGAGCAGCAACTAGAGTTCCAAGGCAGAAGTCTGAAGTGGGGCTGCAAAGTGAGACACTGAAATCAGAGGGACAGGGAGGCCTCCAGTTCCTATCTCTGGAAAAATTAGACTGCTTTGATTTAGATGAGTTACTACAGCGAGAATTCTTTGCCAGGTGTCTGGCTGGTAGTCTTGCTGACATACTCATGGTTCAACTGATCGCCATATTTTGGGTCAGGAAGGAATTTTCTTCCAGGTCAGATTGGCAGAGACCCTGGGTGGGGAGGGGTTTTCACCTTCTTCTGCAGCATAGGGAAGGGGCCACTTTCTGGTTTAAACTAGAGTAAATGGTGGCTTCTCCATAACTTGACGTCTTTAACTCATTAGTTGAGAACTTCAGTAGCTCAGCCAGAGGGTTATGGGTCTATTACAGTAGGGAGTGGGTGAGGTTCTGTGGCCTGTGATATGCAGGAGGTCAGACTAGATGATCGCAATCATCCCTTCTGGCCTTGAAGTCTATGAGATGCCTCACTTTGCATGCCCACATTTGAAAATTCTGGCCCAGGCTTTTATGGATAAATGGGATTCTGATTGGTTGAACAAATCTGTCTGATGCTTGCTAAAACTACTTCTATTTCTGCTCTTTGCCAACAAAGATTCCCCACAACTGCCTGCAAAATACTTTTGTTGCAGGATGAGGGTTGGGAAACTCTTGTGTTCTCAGAAATGGGAATATCAGACTGACTTTCAGTTTTATTGGTATTACTGTAAACAGGAAAGTATGAGTAGGTGGGAACCAAGGGAGGGTAAGAAAATGAAGTGGGATGGAATCCCCCTTCTGTAGTTGCAGGGGTAGGGGGCCATGACCAACTCCCAGACACTTACTACTTAAACATTTAGGTTGGTATTTTTTAAAGGTGCCTAAGGGATATAGATACCCAGCTCCCATTGACTTTCATATTACAAGGCACTGAAAGAAACTCAGGCAGTCAGAATGATGGTCTTGTTCACTGTTTCTGACTCTCTAGTTTGTACCTAACTATTATAACGTGGAATTAACGGCTGACTTACTTTTAAACCAAGGAGCAAACTAAACTGTTACAGGAGCCTCCTTCACAGTTCTTTTAAAATTGCCCTGCTTTGTAGAAAGAGATACCTTGGAAGTATCCATGAGCATATGCCAATAAAAGGTAACTATAGAACTCAACACATACTACTTTGATTCAACACCTGTTGAATGGGATTTGTCCAGTAGACAATTATCTTAGTTCAGTAAAATTCTTTGTTATGCAGTACTTGGAATTTATTTTAAAACTACAATTTTTATTTAAATCGCAAGTACAAGAAAATATAGGCAATGTAGTTTAAATAGTGCCATTCAGTATACATATGTAACTTCCAGTGACTTCAATAGCCAAGAATGTGACTCATTACCTTGACACCTAATCTACACTGTCTCTCATATTAAGCGGAGATCTTCATATTTCTCATCGTAAGATCCTCTGCCTCTGATCTGTAGTTTGCAGGGCTTTTCTCCAAGCATTCCAAAAACAGTCACTGTAGTTTCATATTCCACATTACTCCTAAAATACAAAGGGAGAAGACAGTTCAGTTAGTTTGCCTTTCTACTACATGCAAGAATATAGCACAGTTCTTTAAGGGGTCTGGGAGGGGAAGAATGACGCTGTTCTCTGACATTTGTTGTGCTTGCCAGCTATCTGATACTGCAGAAGTTAACTTTGCTTTCCTTATGGGAATGGTGAGTTTTGACTACTGTAGCCTGGCCCAGTTTCATGTACCATCACATCACATGTAGTAACTGGGTCCCAGTATGCTTTTTAACAGTGTCTTACCTAATGGTATAACTATATATGATGTTGAATGTGTTAATGTGGTGGTTGGAAGGAAAGCTTCAATATTCTTTTTGTTGTGTAGTTACATTTTTATAAATCTCTAAATGACAAGTATTATTGTGATGGCAGGGAATGACGCTGAGCTTGCTCCAGGTGACAGCCATTGTCATATGGAAAAGGCAAGAAGTTAGATGAGAAAATTTTCCCATTGGTTCTAATAGGGCAGGAGGCAGTCAACTGAATGCTAGCTGTAGGCAAACATTTACAGTAAGTGTAATTTTGGTTAACTTGTAGCTTGTGGTAAGTGTGAATTCTAGATCTAGAGCGGGGTCGGCAACCTTCGGCATGTGGCCCATCAGGGTAGTCCGCTGGCAGACCTGAGACATTTTGTTTACGTGGCACGGTCTCCCGCAGCTCCCCGTGGCCACGGTTCGCTGTTCCTGGCCAGTTCAGCATGTAGAGACAGCGTGGTAAGCTGCTTAGTGTGACTTCACAGAATCCTATACTGAACAGCAAGGGTTCAACTTTCCTGAGCACTTGTTGGGCACCAGAGGTAGGATATGAGCCCTATGATATGGAATTTAAAATCTAAGGAGACAACCAGAGGGCTCTGACATGCACAGCAGTTTGTAGTACCAGCGCAGAAACAGTAGCTCAGCGGGGTGCCTCTGAACTCTAATGATAAATTCATGGTAATATTTACAAAACATTATTGCCTGGGGTTTGCGTGAAAAAGCGTGTACCTTGATTTGAGCATTTATTGTACTGTGACTGTGTGTGCATGCTGTGGGAATGTATGGGCAAATGGGAATTAACATGTCTAAATCCCGTTTGTCCAGGTACATGCAGGAACTGCGCAGTACAGCCATATTAAAATGCATGCCCGTGTGTAAATGGGCCTCTATTGACTGAATATGCCTCAATAATTCAGCTACATAATGGCTGATAATTTTAGAGGAAAAAATTGGTTCTCGGATTATCAGAAGAGCAAAACCACTTTTATTCTCTTCTCTGACCCTCACAGACAACACTGTGACACAAAGAACTGGGCAGCTGTTTGTGGAGGCACACGCTGGGGTAACAGTTAATTTCTGTTTTAATTAATTACTCCTTGCACCATAGCAGTCTGCAAGGCCATTCTTAGTCAACTCCAAAGACAGTAAAACTTCTGTTCTCTTACTGTACCTTGCGGTAAAACTGATCTTTAAAGTTGCTTTGGTGGGTAAGCTAGCTTCATGTGCCTCAAGAATTCCATGAATGGGGCAGATGGAAAATACTTCCATGTTGTTATGCTGTTCCTGTTGGTCTGCAGCAAAGAATGAAAATATCAATTGACATGATAGAAGAGTCTTCAGTGTTGTGTATAACACAGTATTCATATAAGTAAACAATACATCTCCTGACTTGCCAATGAAAAATTGTCTGGTATTGTCACATGCATTTGACAAGTCTACATTTTCATTGGCAGGGCAAGCTGGGGTGGTGGCAGTTGTAAATGGCAAAATAAAATGGTCTAGTCCTGCTCCCACTGAAGTAAATGGGCATTTTGCCATTAACCTCATTAGAAGCAAGCTCCAGCTGAAGTCAATGGGAGTTGCTGGTGCTCACTTCCTCTTAGGATCAGGCCTTAAGTTAGAAAAGAAAGATTAATAAACATGGTGGGTCTGATTCCATTCTCTGGTGTACATCTGAAGTAATTACTGAAGTCCATGAAGAAACTCTGGAGTAAAAATAGTGAGATCAGAACCTGACCTGATTCTTACTGAATGATTGTCATGTTGTATGTATTGACTAGATGTGCGTACTCGTCTTACTAAAACAGAACCCTAAAACAAGCGTTAGCCTCTTATAACAAAGGGAATCTATTGCACAGGCTTAATACCCAGTAAAGCAGTCCAGTAACTTCTGCATCTGCTCCTGTTTAACAGAAAGACATCTTCTGTCCTAGTTTGGTTTACAAAGCAGGTCTCAAAATCAACTGTCTCACAAGAGAGCTCCAGTAGTGGGACAGTAAGGTATGCAGTCACTGGCACCAGCTGGAAGAATACGAGAGAGGAAAGGAGTTAAAAAACAACAACAACAATCCATAACTTTGTCCAAAAAGAAATGAGCATTATTTTGGGCAAGCCTACACTTAAACCAGTGCATTGGCACAGCTGTGCTACTGTACTGCTTTAATGAAGATGCTTTAAGCTACCAGGAGAGAGCTCTCCCGTCAGCAGAGTTAATCCACCTCCCGGGAGATGGTAGCTATGTCGGCGGGAGAAGCTCTTCCGCTGACATAATGCTGTCTACAAGGGGGATTAGGTTGCTATAACTACGTTGCTCAGTGATGTAGATTTTTCACACCCCTGAATGACGTAGTGTAGACCAGACCTTAGTTTCTCAGATGCTGGCTTAGGCAAGAAAAGAGATATTACAGATTACACTCGACAGTTAAGACTTCGTTTAAGCCTATGGTCTATTATGACAGTAAAGTGTGCTGTGTTGCTTTTTCAGGGAGGTTTTCAGAATGACCATTGCATGTCCTCAGCAAGGTAATATTCATTGTACATTCTGGTTAACTTTTGAGTATTGTATGAAGACACAGACATTACATTTCACTCTAGTTTCCCTTCCTTCTTTAGAGCTGTATCTGGCACATTGTTGCAAATTCGTTTTTTACAGAGGTTGCCTAGAGTTATCCTTATGTTGCCCATATCTTAGATACCACAGTGAGCAAAACCCTAGAAACACCTTGAATGAAAAAATTCTGCACAGCACTGAAACTGCTTAAGGTCTATATTTATTTTATAGCCTTCAGTCTGGAAGAGGTCAGTTTTAAACTGTGTAGGCTGTGATCATATTCCATCCCGTTAGCTAAGCAGCTGTGAGGGACCTCCAAGGAATATTGCTGCAGGAGGTGATGTTGCCAACTCGGTCGTTAGCACTCTCACTGAGTCAGTACTGAGCGAATGCCTCAGCATGGTGTCAAGGGACAGTCTCATTGGAGGGTGCTGTCTTTTGGTTGAAATGTGAAATGTAGGCCTTCTTGCTGTACAATCAAAGAACGTATGGGACTCGTTGAATTGGGCCGCCACACTGAGATTAACAGTCTGTTATCCTGAGGGTCCCCTGCAGTTTCAGTTGGAAGCTATCACTTTTGTGCAGTGCTGCTGTTCATTATTGGTTAGTTGGCATACTTTACCCTAGAAGCAGCTGCATTTCAGTGGTGGGTAAGTTATGAAAAATAATTGAACATCATTCTGTACTAAAGGTGCATCATGAACATAAGTTTTTAGAGTTACTTTTGTTCTCAAGTGCTTGTTACCTGGGTCGTTCTGTTACTGTATTCAATAACCAGATTTTGACTGAATTCCACTTTCCTGTCTCCATTCTCAAACTGGAGCACTTTGATTCCTGAGAGCAGCTGGTCAGCTGGCAGATTCTGATATGTAAGTAACTCCAGAGTTGTGTGAAATGACACTTTCACCTGGGGGGAATTCAGATTAAAATGTGTGAAGTAACAGTAGGAAATCCACAGTAAAAACTGCCCAACAGCTCCGCCCCAGAGCACATGTTCCCATCATAACCCAACAGAATCATGCCAGTGCCCAAAATCCCATGGGATCCTGTACAACAAGGCAAAGGTAAAAAAATATCTTGACATTTTTTCAAAATCCAGAACCATTTCCTAAAGGCAAATGCACTGAAACAGAGGTGAACTGCAAACCTTTAAAATATGAGGAGAAAAACCCACAAGTTTAAGATCCTGAATTCTCCAGATTCTCCTCTCCCTAATGCCAATTTTACAAAAGTAATTCCATTGCCTTCCGTGGAGTTAGTCGTTATGCTTATGCATAGAGGTATGCGGTCAGAATCAAGCTCTATGTGCCCGTGTTGAAGTGTAGATTTAAAAATAAATACATTTTTAAAGTGCATCTGAGTTATTTCATTCTTTGCTGACTGACTGTTTCCTGCCACCAGCACATACACCTAAAACGAAACAGGATTCTTCTGCTTTCCTCCATCACCTTGTATAGGAGTTGCAGACGGGAAGCTCAGGCCTTGAAAGGAAGAGTGGAAAGCCAAATATTTTCTTTTACATTGTAAATACATTTATCATTTTGATATTCTGATACTGATTAGTACTTTCTGCAAAGTGACTTCAATGGGACATTGCCAATAAGAAAAGCATAACAAGCACCATTGTACAATTGTGTTTTTCCTTCCTCCCCAAAGCTTTGCAGTTCACGTAGGCCATGTTAGTATACTAATTACTAAGGGCTTGTCTACACGGTGCATTAATCTGCACTAGAGAGGTGTAAATTCTAGTGGGTACCAGAGTAGACACCAGTCCCTGCTGAAATAGTACTACATTAACGCACACTAAGGAACGTCTGGTGCATGCTAGCAGGGTCCATGGGGGCCAGTTAGTGTGCACTAGAATTTACACCCCTCTAGTGCGGACTAATGCACTGGGTTGACAAGCCCTAAGCTGTCCTGGCCCGAGGGGTTTTTTTGAACCTACCAGCATGTTTTGCTGTGGATGAAGTAGAAGTTGCTTCCCTTGCTCCTCCCTGTCGCGGTGGGATGTTTTCAGGCTCCTGTTGGGGTCGATACTGGACACAGTGAAGGGCACAGATAGAAGGATCCTGAAGTGCAGAGGAGCCTCTGTGGAGTTGGTGAGTTTCAGGTTGTGAGTAATGACTGATTCTGTCAAAACCTGAAGGAGAATGTATTAAACTACTTTCAATCTGAATTCCCTCCAGAGGCTTGAAGGCTTTCTAGTCTCTCGAGCCATTCCATAGCATCTGAGATTTGGAGGATCCTGCCCCAAACCACTTTCTTTTTTCTTTATGGGTGCTTCAGAATCTCTTGATTAAAACATAAAAAATAAAAATATAAAGGTTTAAAAACAAAATTTGATAGGACTTTGTGAATCACCAAAATTCACAGACCATGTTGGGAGCTAAATCGCCTTCATTCTGCTACCAGAAGCTTTTTTAATCTGAAAATGAATAATTGTTTTGCTACTTAAAAGATCTCTACAGTAAATTAACCCAACACAGAATAGCCATCTTCCTGAAATAACATCTCCTTTCTTGGCTTATAGGTAATTATACGTTAGTCTTCTTTGGCCTAGTTTGTACTCTACCAAAAAAAAAAAAAAAAATTGCATTGTGGGTAAACATTTAACAGTGCATCACCAGGACATGGTCAGTAAAAACATTATTTTACAGCAATGTGAGTGTTGCCATGAATTATCTTAACAGCTGAGCCGTATATTAAATAAACCTTAATACAGCAATATACAAGATACTCACTCCAGAAAGGGGTTGATTTGGTATGAGATCACTTGCCATGGAATGAAACACCATTCCTCCATCATGATCCATTTCTACAGTTAACCTGAATGTAAGGAATCACAGGCTGTTAGACTCCTTTCCTTAGTCTCTGGTTTCATTTAGTTGTTGGCTGTAAGTTTGTGAGCTGTCAGAGCTGTTGTACTTACAGAGCAGGCTTTACAAAAGCTTGCAAGTCCATTCTCAAAGGTGCAACTCCATAGCCGTACGAACGAGTCACCTTGCCAGGTATACCTTGTGCAAGCTGACAGGAAAAGGAAGAATACATGAGGATCAAACTAATGTGTCAAGGATGAAGCACTAACTCCAATCTGAGGGTGTTTCCCAAAGCTGTCCAGCCATAGATGAACTCTGGCAGTGTTTGGCCTATTATTTGTAGTAAATTATGCTACCTCTATAAAAATTTGTGCGAATAGCAGAATCTGAGCTATATTTGCATTTTGAATGCAAACAAAAAATTTTATTAGATTAGGTGAAAACTGCTCATTAATATGGAGGCAACTCTTGTTTTCTAAAATTTTATAAAATGTCATTGCTAAATATTTATTATAGTTAATAAGACTTTGTGCTTCACAGCTGAGGATCTTAAAGTGCTTTACAAACATTATTTAAGCTTTGCAGCAGCCAGTAAATTGTATTTCCCATTTCACCAGGGAAGAGTCTGATAGAAGATAGGTGACTTGTCCAAATTCATGCAGTGAGCTGGGAATAGAACCCAGGAGTCTAATTCCCTATTCCCTTATTAAAAACGGGTGTTTTCGTATAAATGAGCTGTGTGCGCAGTTATTAGATAATCAGTAGCAGAAATCACAATTCACCACCTGCCTCCCATGTTGTGGGAATAATTAATAAAATAGCTTCACTGTTACTGAATAGCATTCAGAGCAGAAAGAAGCAAACTGAAGTGACAATACTACTTAGCTAAATACTTAGCTGTGATAGTACATTTACCTTGCTGTCTAGACTCATGAAACCCAGTGCATACCCCTCACATTCAATTTTGTTAATGAGCTTGGGTAACGTGAGTGGAGTGAAGGAAATATGGATGGAGGCACTGCTACCTGCAGGAACAACCTGGAATCAAAATATTATACAGACATTTAGCTAAAGCAAATGAGCAGTTTTGCATTATGGAAGCATCTTAACAGATTTACATCTAAGGTTGTATCGAGCTTTGCAATTAAAGCATAGATAAAAATCTCTTTGGGCTGCTCTATGCCCAGACTTGCACAAAAATGACAAAATATTAATTAAAACCAATGTAACTATTTCCATGCAAATCTATGTGGGTACACTCAATTTTAGCTACTTTGATTCTGAAATAAAGGTCTATGCATACACTTGCACCAAAATAACTAAATTGGTTTTAAGAAACTGAATTAATTTTCTGAGAACTTAGTTAAGTTTCTAATTAAACTTGAGTTCCAAGAATTTACAAATGACCCCTTTAAAATTTTCTTTTATTAAGTCTAACTTTGTACTTGAACCCTTTGGCAAAGAAGTTCCTTACGTTTGGGAATTGAAAATTGATACACTGCTAGATTACTCCAAGATTTAAGATGTGGTGGGTTTTTTTTTTTAAAAGTTCATTAATGTTCAAATTTTTGATGTATGGACACACACTTTCATAACTTTGTTTCCAATGCATTGTCATATTTTTTCCTGTCAAATTTCTGAACATATTTTATTCTAGATACTGTGGTCCCTAATTGATTTTGGATCAATTATTTTTGAAGCAGTATGAGTTATACAGAATATTTGTACAGGATGAGTCACATGTGAAGACAGCCAGAGGTCGAAAGGCCTGCATTCAAGCTCAGCCAGTTATGCTTGCCTGTTCTTCACAGGGTGAAGGACCTGCTTCCAGAGCTTGGTACTTGAACTTCTTGGACCTGGGGAAGTCTGTTGGAGACCATTGTTATCCTGTTGACTTCCTACGGTCTGCAGAAGTATCTCTCCAATCTTTAAGATTTTGTTTTCCTACTGCTCTTGCTCTGCACCAATGAAAAGCCTTCCCTTGCTGTCCCGTCTCCCCAGTCCTATACAGTTGGCTATTTGCAAACTATAAGGACACATAAGAGTCACAGCTTACGATTTGTGTAGGAGTTATACAGTAGGGATAGTCGGAAGGAAACCCTTCATGAGCTTGTATAAGTACAGAGATTATTTTCTTTTGATTATTTATTGGTCTCCAGACTTCAGAATCACTTCTTCCTTCCTCTTCCTTGTTGTCTACATCTGACTCCTACAGGTATGAAAGGGTAAGGAATGTTACACATTCAGCACAGGACTCTGGGAGGGCAGAACCATCATTCTCAGAACAAAAGAAGAGAGCAAAAATAGCTAATACTATTTTGTCTCACTTTCCAGCATAAACCCTGGTTTCTCCCATTAAACACTGTGACTCCTGGGGGTGCTGAATGCCCTAACCTCCCACTGAAATCAATGGAAGGTCAGGGTACCCCAATGCTGTTCAGTCGACAGCAAGACTGAACTTTAGGAGTGTCTTGCTCATCATGCAAAGCAGCATTCCAGCCCTAAGGCTGCCTAGACTAATGTTTTCAAAACAAATTTTTCCTCCTAACATGACAAAAAATAGTGTTGGTTTGACACCAATTCATGGAGTCTAAGACCAGAAATGACCATTATGATCTAGTCTGACCTCCCGTATAACACAGGCCATAGAACTTCTCCAAAATAATTCCTAGGGCAGATAGTTTAGAAAAACATCCCATCTTGCTTTAAAAATTGTCAGTGATGCAGGATCCACCATGACCCTTGATAAATTGTTAACAATTGTTAATTACTCTTACCATTAAAATTTATTAATTTCCAGTATGACTTTGTCTAGCTTCATCTTCCAGCCATTGGCTCATGTTCTTTCTTTCTCTGCTAGATTGAAGAGCTACTTATTTAATATTTGCTCCCCATGTAGGTCCTCATAGACTGTAATCAAGTCACCCCTTAACCTCTTTATTAAGCTAAATAGATAGACTCAAGGAGCTCAATCACTGGAAGACATAGTTTCTAATCCTTTAACCATTCTTGTGGCTCTTCTCTGAATCTTCTCCATTTCATCAACATCCTTCTTGAGGGCACCAGAACTGGACACAGTATTCCAGTCACAGTCGCCTTAGTGCCAAATACAGAGGTAAAATAATCTCTCTACTCCTACTCAAGATTCCCGTTTACGCATTCCAGGTTTGCATTCATCTTTTGGCCTCAGTGTCACAGTGGGAGCTCATGTTCAGCTGATTATCCACCATGACCCCCAAATCTTTTTCAGAGTCACTGCTTCCCAGGAGAGAGTCCTCCATCCCTGTAAGTATGACCTACAGCAGTAGCTCTCAACCTTTCCAGACTACTGTACATGTTTCAGGAGTCTGATTTCTCTTGCGTATCCCCAAGTTTTACCTCACTTAAAAACTACTTGCTTACAAAATCAGACATAAAAATACAAAAGTGTCACAGCCACTATTACTGAGAAATTTCTTACTTTCTCATTTTTACCGTATTTTTATAAAATAAATCAACTGGAATATAAATACTGTACTTACATTTCAGTGTATAGTATATAGAACAGTATAAACAAGTCATTGTGTGAAATTTTAGTGTGTACTGACTTCGCTAGTGCTTTTTATGTGGCTTGTAAAACTAGGCAAATATCTAGATGAGTTGATGTACCCCCGGAAGGCCTCTGCGTACCCCTGGTTCAGAACCACTGACCTATAGTCTTTGTTCCTAGATGTATACATTTACAGTTAGCCATATTAAAATACACAGTTTGCATGCACCTAGTTTGCCAACATATCTAGATTGCTATGAATCAGTGACCTGTCCTCTTCAATATTTACCACTCCTCCAATTTTTGTGTCATCTGCAACTTTATAAGTGATGATTTTGTTTTCTTCCAAGTCATTGATAAAAATATTAGATAGTGTAGGGCCAAGAACTGATCCCCGTGGGACTCCACGGGAAACAAATCCTCACAATGACAATTTCCTGGTTACAGTTCCATTTTGAGACTTATCAGGTAGCCAGCTTTTAATCCATTTAATATGGGCAATGTTCATTTTATATCTTTTTAATCAAAATGTTGTGCGGTACCAAATCAAATGCCTTTCAGAAGTCTTAAGTATATTATGCCAACACTAGTACCTTTATCAACCAAATTTGTAATCTCCAAAAAAAAAAAAAAAATCAAGTTAGTTTGACAGGATCTATTCTCCATAAACCCACATTGATTGGCATTAATTACATTACTCTCCTTTATTTTTTATTAATCGAATTCCGTATCAACTGCTCTTTATATTCCTGGAATCAATGTCAGGCTGAAACCTGTAATGACCCAGATCATCCCGTTTACCCTTTTTAAAAATTGACACATTAGCTCCCTTCCAATCTTCTGGAACTTCCCCAGTGGCCTTCACAACATCCTCTGGCAAGGAGTTCCACAGGTTGACTGTGCATTGTGTGAAGAAATACTTCCTTTTGTTTGTTTTAAACCTGCTGCCTATTAATTTCATTTGGTGACCCCTAATTCTTCTGTTCCGAGGAGGAGTAAATAACACTTCCTTCTTTACTTTGTCCACACCTGTCATGATTTTATAGACCTCTATTATATCCCCCTTAATCGTCTCTTTTCCAAGATGAAAAGTCCCAGTCTTATTAATCTCTCTTCATATGGAAGTTGTTCTATACTTCTAACCATTTTTGTTGCCCTTTTCTGTACTTTTTCCAATTCCAGTATATCTTTTTTGAAATGGGGCAACCACATCTGCACGCAGCATTCAAAATATGGACGTAGCATGGATTTATATACAGGCAATATGATATTTTCTGTCTTATTATCTATCCCTTTCTTACTTATTCCCAACATTCTGTTAGCTTTTCTGATAACATGGTTTAAAAAAAACAGACTGCCATGATCTTACATCATCTGTCACGAGGGAACCTGGAGAAATGATGTCTGGGCTGCTAGGGATTTTATCCCAGTTTAACATGATTTCAGTCTCTGAGGTGCTAGCATTTGACTCAATCTCATTCTCATCTACGTCCTTAATAGGAAAATGAGGGCCATAAAACAGCAAGAGGTCCACCAGCTTCTCATTATCTTTTTCTTGATTGTAAGTTTTCCAGTCCATGCGGATGTCTGAATGAAAAAGGAAAAAGTCTATTAATCTTAGTCAGGCCAACGATATGTAGCTTTTTTGGCCCTTGAGAAAAAGTGGACTAGGTAGATAATGGCACCTGGATACATTGATGCCAAGTTGCACCTGAGTGGAAGTTTTTTACTCTCAGGACCAGACAGGTGATTCCTCGAGGATCAGAAGAGCATACATATGACTTAAACCCATCTTTGCCTGTCACTGGTCTTGCACTAGACACAGGCTAGCCAGGTCCAAGGATCCCAGCCTACATCTTTATTAGCATTAACTATGATGAATGTTTTGTTAAGTAAATGCATAAGAATGTACATACAGGGCCTAGCTCAGTATCCTGTCTTCTGACAGTGGCTGGTGCCTGATGCTTCAGAGGGAATGAATAGAACAGGGCAATTATTAAGTGATCCATCCCCCGTTGTTCAATTCCAGCTTTCGGCAATCAGAGGGTTAGAGATACAAACTGTAGGGTTGCATCCCTGACCATCTTGGCTAATAGACATTGATAGAACTATCCTCCATGAACTTATTCTCTTTTTAATCCAGTTATAGTTTTGGGCTCCACAACATCCCCTAGTAATGAGTTCCACAGGATGACTGTGTGTTACGTGACGTGATTCTTTAGTTTGTTTTAAACCCGCTGCCTGTTAATTTCATCAGGTGATTGATGGGGTAAGTAACACTTCCTTATTCATTTTTTCCACACTATTCATGATTTTATAGACCTCTATCATATCCCCCCTTAGTCTTCTCTTTTCCAAGCTGAACAGTCCCAGTCTTTTTAATCTCTCCTCACGTGGAAAGCTGTTCCATGCCCCTAATCATTTTGGTGATGTCCAAGACACAAAGAAAGATATGGCCCGTGCACTGAAGAGAGAACTCCTGAGAATTTTTCTTTTAAATGAGTATGTTCTGAAGAGGAAGACAAAGATTGGATGCAAGTGGAATTTAGAAGAGCCCAATGGTGCTAAACTTAGAGTGGAATTTTTTCTTTCCAATAATAGAATGACGGCAGCATTTTATTGACATGAGTTAGCTTTAGGAGGGTTTCACAGAAAAAGTGAATTTCAAAGAAGGATACAGATGAAGAGAATCCAGTCACGGTGCACTGGAATAGGATGTTTTCCTGTTTCACACTAAACACTAGATTGTGCTAATTATATTCCCTCACTGGCCTCTGGCTCAAACCTGCCTGCTCTGCTACTATCCACATCAGCCTAGTCCAAAGGTAACACCACAATGATAAATGCTTTTGTACAGCTAGAGACCTAGCAGCACTGGCCATTGCTCTATATTAGCTAAACTACTGAATTAGCTGTGAGTGTCTCCTCCTATTCCTTTATTGCCCTAAAAAAAAATCCTAATTAAGAAAGCTGAAGGTGTGTTAATTGCTGTGCTTTCATTACTGTAGGGATGCAGTGCTAGCTAGTATATCTTAGAATATGAAACCAGCCTTACCACACGGAGTGGGGTTGTTGAGTCTGATGCAGCGGGAGACCGTATCCCCACCAGAGACATGAGCACCAAACCTGGAAAGGAGGAATAACTTCATGTTACAATGTACAATTGTTAGGTCAACTCCTAAGAATTTTTCTTTTAAATGAGTAATTAACAAAGTGGAAACAGATCAGCTTAAAGAGTTAACTGCTGGCAGTTTGTTGTATTGGAAACCAGATAATCTACGGTCAATCTAGGAAACAAAGTTATATTGTACATTCTGTTTACATTCCATTATCCATTCCCTCCATATTCTGACAACATAGTTGTCTCAGACTTGTGTGTGCAAGCGAATGTGGTGCTCATGAAAGATGGTGGATAAAGAAGTCAATAGAAGTGTTGGAGTGGCAGAGGCCACCTCCTCAGTGAGCAGTGCACTGTGAGCGAGGAGTAGCAGGACCTTTTCCACCACTGGTACTGGCATGCCAGTGATCTCTGTCCATGCTGGCCCTGAATCAATTGAGCCTGGAATGACTGAAATTCAATCAGTATTAAACCCTGAGAAAACAGTCTGGAAGAATAGTTGTTAGCATGGTTGATGAAGGATTTAGGAGATGATGTATATGGAAACAGGGCATTTTACAGTCATGCTAGGAAACACAAACATAACACTATGCTAAACTTATCTACATCAGATAAGGCCTTAGTGTAATGTTTGACTGTCTAAACAAAATAAAGCACACGCTGTATTTTGACAAATATACCACTGAATGTTGCCTGCCTTCTTACTGAACAATAGCAAATGACCAAAAATGAACAGTGTAGGCATAGTCTAATGGCATTTAAAACTTCTGACATCCTTACAAACAGTATTTGGGGGGCTATACCTGATTATTGGTATCTTTGTTTGATGTTCAGTCTGAGGTCCTGTCATCTGCAAGAAGATTGGGCAACCTTTCACAGTCATTTGCATAGGAATTAATGTAGGCTGTAAGTCTCCCACCTAAGAAAAAACAATGCATCTTGGCAATTAGAATTAAATGCTACCTTAGAATTTGGGTTACTAAATTATATCGTAGCCTTTGAGCCAAATGGATTTTCAATTTTTTTTACTCTTCTCTTTTAAAGGAAATTAGTGAAGCAAGAGATCTAATGAGGACTCTTGTCAGCAGGAAAGTTCTGTACCTAATCTATTGGTCATTCTGCTTGATGCCTTTTCTAGGAGAGAGCTCTCCTGCTGACAAAAAACTTCCAGCCCCCACGAGCCACAGCGGCTTTGTTGGCAGGAGAGTGCTCCCTGCTGACAAAGTGCTGTTCACAACAGTGCTTTTTGTCAGTAAAACTTTTGTCGTTCGGGGTGTGTGTGTGTTTTTTAACACCCCGGAATGACAAAAGTTTTGCCGACGAAGTGCCAGTGTAGACAAAGCCTAAGACCCTTTCCACCAGGCACAACAGCACAACATATTGGGTTGGTGGAGCAGAGTAGTGACCGTTACAACTGGATTTTGTAGATGGAACAAAACTATGTTGTGGAACTCTGTTACAGCCCTATGAAAAAAAAAAAAGGCCTTCAACGTGTGGCCAAAACCAGATTCATACATTTTAACAGGAGAGGACACTTGTCAACTAAACCTTGTTAGAAGAAACAGTCTAGAAAAAAGAATGAGGAGTACTTGTGGCACCTTAGGGACTAACAAATTTATCTGAGCATAAGCCTTCGTGGGCTACAGCCCACTTCATCAGATGCATAGAATGGAACATATAGTAAGATATATATACATACAGAGAACATGAAAAGGTGGAAGAGTTGGTATGGTAACTTCCACCTTTTCATGTTCTCTGTATGTATATATATCTTACTATATGTTCCATTCTATGCATCTGATGAAGTGGGCTGTAGCCCACGAAAGCTTATGCTCAAATAAATGTGTTAGTCTCTAAGGTGCCACAAGTACTCCTGTTCTTTTTGCGGATACAGACTAACACGGCTGCTACTCTGAAACCAGTCTAGAAAAAGCTACTCTGAATCCTTATTGAAGTCCTACCAAGCAGAAGAAAGTGTTTTAGCAAAGAGGAATTTGGGGAAAGACAATTGGCCCCAAACCTACCATGCAAATTTGGTGATCAGAACAAAAAGCCTCACCTACCCTACAGATGAGATCATCATGGTACTCTCCCCACATGTTGTTATAAGCTGTTATTTCTATAATTAGCTGCTGGAAGGCTTTCAGAGTTCCTGTGGAAGGTTGGGCATGGAAAGCCACTCCTCTCCCATGAGACAGTAATGCCAGCACAAATGCTGAAAGAACAGAAGAGTATTTGATAAGATTTCTAGGAAATGGAATAAAGTTTATCTTTCAAACAAAATACATGTTCAGATCATCAGCTGGTATTAATCAGAGTAGTTTCACTAGCTTCAGTGGAGCTATGCCTATTTACAAAGTTGAGAATTCAGCCTCTAGAATAGAGTTTCCCAAACCTTTCCTACTGTATACCCCCTTCCAGATCTGCCAGCTGCCCGTGTACCCCCTTCCAGATCTGCCAGCTGCCCATGTACCCTTAACCTTCTTATCACTGATACTTTGTGTGTTCTTCTTAACACTACTTGTCTTTAGCTATCTGTCTGTATTTCATTGTTATATACGGATATAGTTACAGTGCAATGTATACAACCAAAAAAACCCCCTAAGTTCTGAGCTCAGTTAGACTGGACAATTGCTGGGCAACTGAACCTGCGCTGTACAGTGATTGGAGGTGATGGCTCTGTACGTCAGCGTCTCTGTGTATTTGTGATCTCACTGGTACATCTTGAAGTAAATTAACTACCGTATTTTATATAACAAATTCCCAAAGAATTTTAAAGCTTTGTCTAAGTAGCCTATTATGAAAATGCAATAAATAAAATCCACCATTACACAATTCCTGCATACCTGCCAGAGGTGTCTCACATGCCCCCAGGGGTACATGTACCACAGTTTGGGAATCCCTGCTCTAGAATCAAATCATTTTCACTCCAGCTTCCTATTCAGTGGTTCTCAATCTGTTTTTATATTATGGATCACTTGTTAAGACAGAGATTCTTCCAAGGACAACCTTCCCTGCCAACCTCCTAATTCTGCACTTTTCTGTGACAACTGTAATGCTTGATTACATGAAAAAGCAATATTGGTAAGATGAAAATAAACTGACTCCAATGGGATTGGAGTGACTGACTGGTTAACTTCATGATCTGTGCTGTTTATTTATTTCTAAATGTTTGCTAGCCCTTTAGTTGTGGTGGTGTCTGGAAGTCAGAACATCTAACAAACACTTGACAAAGACATTTAGCAAGCACTCCAGATGTAGAGAAGGACTTGTTTGTTTACTTGATCAAAAAAATGTCCCAGAAACGCCAAGACAGTCCTGACTGGATAATACATGGCAGGAGGTTTCACTTCTTCAGAACAGAGTGCTCTGCTATTGAGATAGACACAGCTCCATGGACCACTCGGAAGTGTATCACAGGATACAATGTGAGAACTAATGTTAGGCATTTACTCCTAGGGGAATTCTGCGCCAAAAAATTAAAAATTCTGCAAAATTCTGCATATTTTCTTTGTCAAAATAACACAATATGATCACACCAGTTTCAATTATTTTTGGTAATTTATTTCAAAATTCCTGTCAGCAAGTATGTCTGTAACAATACAGACAATAAAAAAGATTCAGGAAATGTTTTTTGACAAATAGATTCCTTACTAGACATATAAATACAGAACTCTTGAGTAATTAATTTAAACTACAATACAGACTCTATTTCCCACACCCCTCAGAAGCAGTGAAAAAGGCTTGGGGGAGTCAGAGGTAACGGAGGAGCTGAGGAAAAAAGGAGCTGGGGAGTGAACCTGGAGGGCTGTTGGGTGCGGGTGGGAGAAATATGGAACAGTTTTTTTTGGGGGGGGGGGGATCGTTAGGGAGCCTTCCCCAGACAGACCCTGGCTGACCCCTAGCCTCTCCCATTCAGTCAGGCACATCTGCCCCTGTCCCCAGGTGTCCCTGCACCCCCATGTGTCCCTGCACCTCCTCCCCTGTCCCCATGTATCCTTGCACCCCCTCCCCTCTGTCCCCATGTCTCTGTGCCCCCACTCAGCCACGCCCCTTCCCCCATGTGGCCCTACATCCCCTCCCCCGTCCTCATGTGGCCCTGCGCCTCCACTCCCGTTCAGCCCCTGCCCCTGCCTGTCCTGCCCCGCCCCACTAGCCCTTAGTCTGTGACGTCCCCAGCAGCCCCATGTGCCCCACACTGCCTGTCCACCCATATCCCCTGTCTCCTGTCCTCACCCCACAGGCAGGGCGCTGCAAGGAACACAGCGTTTTTTCTTCTCTATAGCAGCTGGGGAGGGCCCCAGAGCATCTGCTCTGTTCTAGTGCCACAGCGGACCCTGGTGGGCAAAAGGTGTAACTGCAGCAACTTTCCGGCAGAAGTTATTTTCTGCGGCACATGAATTATGCACATGCGCACTGGCACAGAATTCCCCCAGGAGTAGACATTCTATTGCATCTATGTTTTATTTGCTATGGGCTAGATTCTGATACCACTACTCACTCAGAGCACTTTACTTCATAAACAGTCTCAATGGCTACTTGTGAAGTTAGGTGCTCCTCTAGATGAATAAGGGTATCAGAGTCTGATTCTTTGTATTGGTATAATACCTTGCACAATGGAGCTGTGATCCTTCCTGATTAGGACCTCTGGGAGCTACTGCAATATAAATAATAAACAACAAAGGATCAAATCCTGCCCGGTCAGTCCATCCAATCCTACTGAAATCAATGAGGTTGCAGGGGATGGAAGTCAGCTCAGAATTTAGCCTAATTTTTTTAAATTTTAGACCTTGTAAAAAGAACCAGATTGACAGCCCTGGGGCCTGGACTCCTCGATCCACAGAATAGATACTGAATGCTGTGGGCAAGCCCCACAACGTCCACCAGTATGTTTCAGTCCTGTTCTGGAGGCCCAAACTCTAATATAAAGGGATTTCCATTTCCATTCAGCCCTCTTTCCATGGATGCTGTTGCTGAGTGTGCTAGTTGTGAGAAGATATCTTTCTGGCCAACAAAAATAGCTTCTCTCATACCTGATTGTACTTTCTTGGCTGCATGTCTTCTGATTTGTGCTGTTCTTTTCACCAGGCTGGCTGTGGAGCTTGTAAAAGGAAAAGACTCAATGATAAGTCTGTGAGCAGCACAAGTCTTTGCTAACTTTACAAGCTAGTTCAACCAAAGTCCTAGATTGTTGGTAACTATTGCTCAAAGACAGACTTCCGAGAATCACCAGCTAAATGAATTTTTAAAATAGCTTCTTTATATGTGAAGCCATTTAAATGCCAAGACACAAGTTCAGGATTTGGTAAGCTAGATTCTCAGCTGGTGTAAATCAGCATAGCCCCACTAATGGCAATAGTGCAATGCTATTTACACCAAATGAGAATCCTGCCCTTTGTGTTTCCTGCAAAAGTTGATGGCCTGGAACCATAGTACCTCAGCCGGAGGATTCATCATTTCTCATAAGCAAAGCAAAGTCAACTTAAGAAACACGCTGTATTGCAGGAAGTGGTACTGGTGGTACAGTCCGTACTGAACTAATGCGGCAGCATGGCAATAGGGGATTGTCCCCTCACACCAGCATACCTCCATTTCAATGGAATTATTCCAAATTTACACAGCAGTGTGAAAGGAAAATCAGGCCCAGTATCCGATTAATTAGCGAGAAAGGCACAACTTACAGATCGTTTCCTTGTTCCTCTGAGGTAACTGGACAGCTACTGAAATATTCAGCTTCTAGTGTGAATGGAGCATCGATTCCAGTATGATTGGTAAGTATTAGCTGGCGTGTTACTATGCTCTTCAATGCAACTTCAGATCCAAAGTCCAACAGAAGATCTTGAGGACTTTGTAACATTTGCTTCTCATCACTAAAGATAAAAGTGACCTCAGATATTAAAACTAGCACTCTTCTTTCTTCATAGCATAGGAACAGTTTAGGCAGAGTTGAGATTTCCTGCATAAGGCAGTTTTGATGTCCCTTGTTAAAAGGACCAACTAGCCTAAGATTAATACCACCAGCATTTGCCAGTATTGATTTGCCTCAATTATATTCCTGTAGGAATTTATTTCAGGTGTAGTGATTATGCTGCCAAATTAAAGCTATTTCTTGCTCATCTGAAAAAAAGAAACAACAAGGACTTAAAGTACACTCGGAAACAGAGTAGTCATGCTAGGTATCACAAGAATACAATTAAAAATACCAGGCAGACGTAGGGTTAGAAATTATCAAGGAGAATTGCATTTGTCATATACCAGATTTGGCAACGTGGCAGGAAAACTTCTAAACAGCCCAGGATATTTGATCTTAAATTGTATGGTATAGAACTCAACACTTTAATATCCATATCTGAGAGTTAAATTTACATATTTTAAACATTGCAGACAGTTACTTTGGCTTTTGAAGGTTTGATGGGTGTAGGATTCCCATCCCTTGGCTGGCAGCGAGAGGGCTAATTCTTTCACTCCAAGCAGAGAAAGCAAAGATATTGGATCAGAATATAGATGGACTATTACAGTGTATTAGATGTTAAAAACCAACAAACAAGTCTGGGTGATTATTTTATAACACCTTCATTTACCTGGTAACTTTACTGTCACAAGGTATCAAGTATGTGACATGTAGTCCCTTTACTTGGCCAGAAATGCCCAGAAAAAGAGGTTCAATCATATCTTCTATGCTACAGCAGAGGGTAAGGTCATTCAGCTCATCCTAATAGGAGAAAGTCACATCTTCTTTGTAAATGGAGTCAAAGATACAGACGAAAGATGTCATAATAAAAAAATGTATTAGTAAAACAGGTACAAATCTTACTGGATTAAAAAAAAAACAACAACAACCCAGAATCGCAGGGGAAGACTGAGAAGGCTTACAGGTTGCTTCACATGGATTTTCTACCAAAACATTTCATCAGATTTGTTTGGCAGTAGGTACCAAATTAAAAATTTGCTGATGTTACTGTATGTTTTGCGTCAACCTCAAATAATATAAACCTAAAAATGCACCATTCCTGATTTTTGCCACATTTTCTGGTAGAAGCCTGTCTTTTCAGTGCTGGCCTGCTTGTGGAAATGGATCTTGTTGTCTGGACACATTAATTCTGACCTCCCTCCTTAAGTTTTTCCAGGTAAGGAAGAGTTAGGATATGTCTACACCACAGATGCTACAGTGGCATAGTTATGGCACTGCAGCTGCACAGCTGTAGCACCGTAGTGTAGACACTTGCTACAGTGACGGAAGGGGTTTTTCCATTTCTCTCAAGAGGATGAGAGGTGGTAGACAGAAGAAATTTTCTATCAACCTAATGGTGTCTATACCAGGGTTTAGGACAACAACTATGTCTCTCGGAGGTGTGAATTTTTCACACCCCTGAGAAATGAGGTAGGTACACCAAAGTTTTAGGTGTAAGCAGGCCTTAGAATGCGAGAGAAGAAGGGTGGGAATTAATGTAAGGAAGAAGATGTTTTCAGGACCATAAAGTAAAATTTAATCAATTTAATATGTGTTTTAAGAATAAAGGTCAACAATAGTTTTGTATATTACAAAAGCAGCATTAATCATTAAGTGTAAAGAAAAGGGCATAGTAGAAAAAAAATAAAACAAAGCGGCAATCAAGCAGACTTCAAAGTCGATTTAAGGTGCATATAATTTAAATATCATCTTCTGTCTTCAGTCATGTTAGTCTATAAAGCATATCGGAAAGGCCGTTTGAGACAGATTCTATGCACAAATGCATTGTACTGTACTTGCAAGTGCTGTTTTTGCCCCATGGACTTGAAATAAGAATCCCAGTGTTCTCTGTGCTATTAAAATGAGATCAGTTTTTAAACTTACCATAATATTAGCTGTTAGCTCTATACACAATTCTTTTTCTTCATGTGGGCCCAAAGTGCCACTTGTTGGGGAGACAGTGGCAGAGCAGAAAGCTGACTGACTTCCGATAAGCTATCAGGTAGGATAAACACTTGAACATTCAGTTAACTGTGATGAAATCTACTCCATTCAAAATTCACCTCCAGATTGGAAATGATTGTCAGGATGAAGCAATACATAGAATCTATATGTTTCAGGAAAACGATAGATCTGATATGTAGAGTCTGGACACACTTTACATGCCCTTTAATTCCACTATGTTCAATTACTTAGATACTTTTTTCTTAATAGTAATTAGGGCTGCCAATTAATCACAGTTAACTCACGCAATTAACTCAAAAAAATTAATCGCAATTAAAAAATTTTATCACGATTAATCGCACTTTTAAACAATAGAATACCAATTGAAATGTATTAAATATTTTTGGGTATATTTCTACATTTTCAAATATGTTGATTTCAATTACAACACAGAATGCAAAGTGTACAGTGCTCACTTTATATTATTATTTTTATTACAAATATTTGCACTGTAAAAATGATAAACAAAGAGATAGTATTTTTCAATTCCCCTCATACAAGTACTGAAGTGCGATCTCTTTATCGTGAAAGTGCAATAAATCAATGGAATTCCTGACACAGCACAGCTAAGTGTGTCCTGTCCCTTCTCAAGTGGCTAGTCAACATAGAGAATAAGATATATCTACTGCTCCCAGTTAATAGAGTTAGGGTATGTCTACACTACCCGCCGGATCGGCGGGCAGCGATCGATCCAGCGGTGGTCGATTTATCATGTCTAGTCTAGTCGCGATAAATTGACCTCCGAGCGCTTTCCCGTCAACTCCTGTACTCCACTGCCGCGAGAGGCGCAGGCAGCAGTCGACTCACCACAGTGAAGACACCGCGGTGAGTAGGTCTAAGTACGTCGACTTCAGCTACGTTATTCACATAGCTGAAGTTGAGTAACTTAGATCGATCCCCCCCGCCCCAGTGTAGACCAGGCCTTAGTCCTTTAGCTGAAGGGAAAAGGACTGTGCCTTAGAGCAGGGATTCTCAGCCCTTTTCTTGCTGAGACCCCCCTCAACATGCTATAAAAATTCCAGGGCCCAGCGGGGGTAGGAGGGGACCCTTGGGCATAGACGTTGTTTGACTTCTATTTTGGGAGGTAAGGGCTGGCGGGGCTCGGGCCAGCTCCACACAGTGGGGTCCAAGGAGGGAGCGCCACCTCCACCACCTGACTCACCTCAGCAGGCCACCCAGCCTGTCTGGCCTGTGGGGCCGCAACCAAAAAATATAACACAAAGGGGGGACTCAGCTCAAAAAGTTTGGAAACCGCTCAGGGTGCAGGGAGAGGGTAGCTAGGGGCTGTGTGTGGGCAGGGAAGTAGCTTAGGGTGCAGGCAGGGGATAGCCCCATGCCACTCTTGGCTGGGAGGGAGGGATGCCAGCTTTTGCCCCGCACTGCTCCCGGCTTCGGTGGGGGGCCACCAGCTTCAGCCCCACGCCACTCCCGGCTTCAGACCCACACGCGGCTTGGGGCGCCGGGTTTCAGCTGTGGGGCCACGTGGCCCCCCTGAAAGGGCTCACGGACCCCTGGACGAGTACCACTGCCTTAGCGCAAGAGTTCCCAGGTTTAATTCCTGCTGATGACCCAATCAAGGGGTCATTACACATGGGACACATCACAGAAGTTATCTTATTATTTTTTATTATTTCTATTGTGATAGCAACTACAGAGCTCAGCTCCTATCTTGTGTCACTACTAACTGTCACCCGACGAAGTGGGCATTCACCCACGAAAGCTTATGCTCCAATACATCTGTTAGTCTTAAAGGTGCCACAGGACTCTCTGTTGCTTTTTACAGATCCAGACTAACACGGCTACCCCTCTAATACTTGTCACACTAGAAAGTCACTTACCTCTTCCCAAAAGTATTTTGCTGGCAGCAGTGTCTGGTTAAAGAGTTTGACGGTTGCTTGTGCTGGAACTCCAATATAAATTTCACTGAACACCAAGTGACTAGACATCAGACATGCTTGGGGGGTCTGAACTTCAACAAAAACAGGAAGATGACTGGAAACAGACACACAAATGGCCCAGTTTTACTGTTGCGTAGTTAGTGAATTTACACAGACATTCTGGGAAGCATGAGGGTAGTGTTAATTTAGCAATATGTGTAATTGAGCAACTTATTGATATATTATACAATTCTGAGTGCTGCGGGTGTGGATCATTGTCCGTGGTGTTTCAGGAGACAAAAATATCAAAACTAAAACATGGCTTAGAGGAAAATTTCCATTTTTTCCTCACCTTCCTTCTCCATTTTCGACATCTAGCTCTAATACTGTCTGGAGACGTTGACATAGCAAGGACCTGAACAGAACTGACACACTGCATTTGCCCAAAGGAGGTAATTCTCCATCAGATGGCTGAATCGTGAATGGGGATGCCTAGGTGATAGAGAAACAAATGTGAATGTCACTCAAAACCTTGCTAGGCAGTGTAAAATGCTGAACCCAAGTTCTCAGTTTGGTAAGCTCTTTGCATATCATGCAGATAAAGACCCAAACTGAAGAACTCAGGATATCAATCAGGAGAATGAGAATACAGCACATGACATTGTGGATCTTCCACTATCAGAGGTAAGAAGTAACTTTTAATTAACTAGATAAGGTTCCTCTTTTAGTTCTGCTAGACTGACTCATTCTGTCCAAGAAAGCTGTGCTTACAAAATGTCTTTAGACCAAATTTTGGCCAACAATCATGTCCAACTTCTACGGACTACAGTAGGAATTGCATGAACAACTCTAAGGGCAGAATTTTGCCTTTTATGTTTTAGAGATATGGACCTACAATGATTCTTTATATAAAAATAAAAAGCATCTATCCCAGATTCTAGACATTTATTTTAAAACCCAAAGCATGACAAATCCAGCCACAAACCCCACCATATGCTAGCAATAATCACATATCTGATATAGCTCCCTATGCTCCTCTGAGTCAACCC